GCTAGTAAGGAGTCCCAGCTAGTAAGGAGTCTCAGCTAGTAAGGAGTCCCAGCTAGTAAGGAGTCCCGCAGGACTTGCAGGGACAGGGACAGCAGTCAGTTTCTCTCTTCCAAAGCAGCATGGAAGGAAGGTTTTCTGTCTCGTTCCATCATGTCCACATTTGTGCATGACTCTATTCATCCACGGGCCCCTGAGGGGACCATGGCAAACACGGAACCCTGGCACTGCCCTCTGCAAACGCAGCCTGCAGCACGACCCCACCTACCTTGCATGAATCAACTGCTAATCAGCCCCAGCACATGGGCATCCTTCAGACAGCAGTCTGCTCTGACACCGGGCAGGTGTTAGCATGCCCTGGCCTCCCTGACTCCCTACCCACAGGCCTCCTGGGAACTCAAAGCTAGCAGAGTTAGCTTCATCACATCCTGATCTGGGGCCTCTTTCCCATCCTTCTCCCAAAGATGCCTCCACCCACCTTCCCTGTATATTCTTGGCATGTCCTTCTCTGTCTGCCTCAGTTTCCCCCAAATGCTCACTGACCACTGGTGTTTCTCCCACTTGGCTGGTCCAGACTGTGAGTGCTACGGCCATTCCAACCGCTGCAGCTACATCGACTTCCTGAACGTGGTGACCTGTGTCAGCTGCAAACACAACACTCGAGGTCAGCACTGTCAGCATTGTCGCCTAGGCTACTACCGCAACGGCTCCGCCGAGCTGGACGACGAGAATGTCTGCATTGGTAAGTGGCGGTGGCAGGGGTGGGTCTCAGGACCCCTGGGTAGGAACCACCGGGGAGGTCCAGACTCTCCAGGGTGACGCCCTCCTCATCTGAGCATCTCTAGGGGACCAAAGCCCTTTGATCTGCTGCTGTGACTGTGGGCGCTGGAAAACACAGGCACTAGTTAGAATCAAAGGCTTGTGCACATTTGCCATCCCCTGTCCTCTCTGGGCGCCCCAGAAAGTTGGGCGGGGGGTTAGCCAAATGGTTTCTTTCTCTCCTGATGTTGAAACTGCCCTTCAGATTTTCAGAGCCAGTCTTGTAAAGCTGGGCCTGCCATCGTAGGTACCCACTCTTTCTTTGGTGTTCTGTCCCAGCACTGGCTTTTCTGTAGAGAAGTCCCAAGGTGTTCCTTGGGCCTGGACAGGGGACAGACCCTAAAAGGCAAACCTATAGCCCCCAAATGACACCCAGTAGCATAGAAGGGCAGTCAGGACGGCCTATCTCCAGGCCTGCTTCCAGCAGGGGTCAGGTCTCAGGCCTGTGAGCAGCAGGATCCTAACCAGAAGCCAGCAGGACCACAGCCCATCCCCCACCAGCAGCACCACCTGGCCTGCTCAGTTGCAAAGCTAGAGCTGTCACTCTGGATCATGGCTGAGGCCTTCAGATAATTCCATCAGCTCTAAAGTGATCAAACAGAATTGTGTTGCCAGTGTCACACAGGGCCAGCAGCAGGGACAGGGCAAGGCCTCTGATCTGATTAGAGGTGCCCCCTTTTTCTTGTCTGTCTGTGCCTCCATCTCAGGCCAAACACTGGGCTTCAAGAACTGGGGGTCAGGGATACACACACCCTACACGCAGTCATGCATGCACACACACACTCCTCTCCCCGCAAACCAGCTAGAGCAGGCAGTGAGCCGCTCTTCCTCCTCCAGCCTTGGGGAGGGGGAAACAGCCTCCTGGATAGACACCGGTCACCTATCACACTGTTAGTTTTGGATGAATCAGCCCCCTTCAGCTGTCCAGAGAGGGAAATGGGACTGACTGAGGCCTCACAGTGGGACTAGGAAAAGGGTGTTGGATACCAGGAGAGGGAAAACTATAGAGCCTTCTCTAGCCATGTGGATGCCCCAGCTGTCCCCACTGAGGCCCAGCCACGAGCTCTCTTGTGGGAGCATGGCCAGGGAGCACAGAGACGAGCTAACAGAGATATAAACAAGAGCTATAAAGTTGGGCCTGGGGCAGAACCTATTTGAACGCTGCCCTTCCGACTGCACGTGCCCCATGCCCTTGCTCCTCCTCAGAATGTAACTGCAACCAAATCGGCTCCGTGCATGACCGGTGCAACGAGACAGGCTTCTGCGAGTGCCGGGAGGGCGCGGTGGGGCCCAAGTGCGATGATTGCCTTCCCACGCACTACTGGCGCCAAGGATGCTACCGTGAGTAGACCATTCCCTGATGGTGGAGCCTTCAGACTGGAGGAGAATCCAGAATGGTGGGAGGGGGTCTACATGGGTCTGCTGCGGATTAGGGTGGGCTTCTAGCAAGCAGTTGCAGCAAGAAGGGCGTGATGCAACCCATGAAGGGGTTCAAAGTGGGTGGGTGGGGCTCAAGTGGGTATTGTCAAGTCTTCAGTGGGTGGAGTCCAAAGCAAGTGGGAGCCAGCAAGGAGGGGAGCTAGGGGTTGAAAGGGAGCTGACTGGAGTTGGCTGAGTTGGTTGCTCTAAAGAAATGAAGGCTTGGGGGAGACCCAAGGGACATAGCCTGGGAGAGCGCTCCAGGTACCTGCAGCAGAGCAGGCAAAGCTCTGGAGGCAGACAGCAGGTGCTCCTGGGGAGCCGCACCGCTGCCGGGGAGGAACTGGGGACAGTAGGGCTAACAGGCGGTGGACAGGCAGGGGCCGGATCCCAAGCAGGGTGTGCGTCCTAAGCATTGAGAGCTCGACCCGGAGGCGGGGGTTCCCAGAGCCCCATTGCAGAAGCTCAGTCCCTCCTCCTAGCTGCCTCAACTGTTCCCTCCGGCCCGCAGCCAACGTGTGCGACGACGACCAGCTGCTCTGCCAAAACGGCGGCACCTGCCTGCAGAACCAGCGCTGCACCTGCCCGCGCGGCTACACCGGCGTGCGCTGCGAGCAGCCCCGCTGCGACCTCGCTGACGACGGTGGCCCGGACTGTGATCGCGTGCCAGGCACCGCCCCGCGCCCCGACACCCTGCTCGGATGCCTGCTGCTGCTCGGGCTCGCCGCCCGCCTGGGCTGCTGAGTCCGCTCTAGGGGTCCGGGAGTCCCGGGCCCGACGGCGACACGGGTGCGGCCGAGCTGCTCCCAGGTGCTACTCGCAGAGTCCTCCCTGCTCCGCCCACGCTCACCGGCCCCTTCCGACACTGTCCTCACCGCCCACAGGGGGCGCTGTGGAGCCCTGGCCCGGCGGGCTGCAATTTTCAGATTTTTTTTTTTAAATGTCCCAACGTCCCTATATTTTTCCTTTGTTTCTTTGCTTTCTTCTTCTCCTCATTCTTCCTCCCCCCTCTCCCTTTTGCTGGCGGTGAGACAGGGACTGGGGAGAAACGCTGCTCAACCCAACACCCGCAGGTCCTGCCCCACCCACCCACACACACAACTCTCGCGCACACCCCAGCGCCTGTTCCTGGCTGGCTCCACCAGCCAGCGGACCCGGAACTCCAGTTGCCTACAACTCTAGTCGCTGACTTGATTCTCTTTTGTATCTTTTTTTTTTCTTTCTTTTTTTTTCTCTCTCTCTTTCTTTTTTTTGCACTCACCAGACCCCAGGCCCCCAAGGAGGCCTGGAGACAGAGGAACTCACTGTCTGAGGGATGGGTAGGACAAAGTGCGGAGCAGAAACCTTGTTTTCTAGAGAACTATTTTGTTTGTATCCACTGTCCTTGTGGAGGGACTCGGGTGGGAGCTGGTCACCGAGGGTGGCTGATGGTGAGCAAGCCCACAGTAAAAAGAGTTCACAGCTGCCTCTGCCCTCTTGCTTTTGGTAATGATAGACACTCCCAAAGATCTGGATAAAGAGAGGAACCCACAAAAAAGCCTTAAAGAAACAGTTCCGTACTGGGAGCGCTCTTTCCCAATCTGTCCTCTCCTGGTCCTCCCCCCACCCTGGTGTTTCACCTTTGGCCAGGCTGCTGGCCACCACCTGGTAGGTATTTTTCCAAACAGATGTGCCCCTTTTCCTACAGCTCCTTTCAAATTTGGAGCACCTGCTATGGAAGCCCCAGGATGATAACTCAGGGAGCATTCTCGAGGCTGAACCCCATGCTAATTTGTAACTCTCTTCTGTGACCCCCTGGGATAAACGTGTTATTTCGGCCCTGCTGGCTTTGGAGTCTCAGGTCCAATGTGAGGTTACACAGAACTCCCAGGCTGCAGGCCTGGCCACTGAGTCCCAAGGTAGGCATGGCACCTCCTTGCTTGCTCAGGTGCTTGGTATGTGAGGACCCAAAAGGTCATGGCAGTCGGCCCACCTGGGCCCTCCTCTGCTTGCCCTGGGGGTCAGGTTCCCCTCCCATTTATCTCCGCACATCTCTTAGTCCCTCGTCCTGGTTCCTAATTGTCACACTGCTCCCACAAGTGTCCCCTCCTTGTTATCGGCCAGCTGTAGGCCGTCTGTAGGCCGTCCTGTCCCCAGGTCTTTTCTCAAGTCTGAAGCAAAGCTAAGACAGTGTGCTAAACATAGCTGGTATGATTTACCAGAGTCAAGACAGAGAATGGAACGTTGGCTGACTGAGGCCAAATGCCGCCCCCTACTGGTCACTCTTTGCTTTGATCCCCTGCACCAGCAGAAGTCCACTCCAAACTCTAAGGGGGGGCTTCTGTCAGGTCCCTGGCTCCATCTACAGAACGCCAACATGCCCGGGCAAAACATCTCTGGTTCTCCTTGTAGATGAGAAAGGCCATATGACACAGCTCTATGAAATATGATATAAGCAAAAATGACAGACAGGACTTGCAGAAAGTTTCTAAAAGTCACTACCACCACCACCACCACCACCCCTGCCACATTGGGCCCCAGCCCCTCTTCTGCCTCTCTCCCCAGTGCTCAGTCTGCAGGATGGAGGCAGGAGTCATCTGACTGAGCATGAGTGTAAACCCCCTCCAAGATGGTGGAGCAAAAGCAGAAACTGCCTCTGTGAAGACCCAGCCAGGCTATGATGTCCCAGACTTCTAAAAGTGGGGGAAAGAAGAAACATCCATGGGAGGGAAGCTGTGGGGGCTGCGGTTTCTGTCTCAGGCAGAATTGCCAGTTCCTAAGCCCCTGGCCTCCTGGCTTGACATCTAGGTGTCTAAAGTGCACTGAGTTCAGAGGAAAAAACAAACAAACAAACAAACAAACAAAAAAAACCCAAGACACCTAGTTCACCACACAAATCAGCATCCAAGGCCAGGACCATCTCTCCCCAGAGCGCGGCCAGCCTCCACCTTCAGTAGCGAGCAGAGAGGGAGATGCTGCAATCCCGCCTTCCTGCAAGGGGACTGGAATGCCTGAATGTGAAAGAGGATGCAGCAGCTTTTAGAACCACAAAGATCTAGGGTCCCGTCCTGGAAGCAGAGTAAGGAGGACATGTGCAGGCTGGCCTCGAATGCAGAGATCCTCCTACCTCTGCCTCCCGCGTGCTGGGACTAAAGGCGTGCGCCACCACCGCCCAACAACGCCTACCCCTTTCTTTATGCCACCGGGGAGTGTCCCAGGACACTGGAGGGGTCTGAGAGGAGAAGGGAACCCACTCTGTCCTTCCTGAGCTCTCGGCTCGCCTTGCTGTGTCAGCATCCCTGGGACCAGCCAGTCTTCTCCAGAGCCAAGGGCTGGTGCAGCGCATTGTAAATCAGAATGGCAGCCCCAATCCCTAAGGACCGCTCAGGCCCTGACCTCGGCTGGAGGATAGAAGGAATGTTGCCAGTAGCCATTTGGAGAACTCTGACATCTTCCAGATCACGGAACAAAGGAGAAAACAAGGTCACCCAGGCCAGAAGTCACAGCCCAGGATTTTGATGTCCGATTCCCAAGGCACAGGGGAGGAAAGCACCCTTTGGCCCAGCTAGGCCCATAGCAGCCACCTGAGGCACCAGGCAGTGTTAGGATGTTAGCCCTGCCCTTAATCCCTCCGTTAGCCCAGGATAGGTTTCCATCTTGGCTCTGACAACCCTGCAGGCTGTGCAGCTCTTAGAGGCATCAGTGCTCTGGGGATGGAGCCAGCAGGGCCCCTACCCCAAGCAGTGACATCTACAGGTATCTCAGCGGTGCCCAAGTGGAGGCAGAATTGCCCTAGTTTGAGAATCACTGTCAATTCAGTCAGCAGGAATGGATGGTTCATTTTAGAGAGGGGCAAGTAGAGGCTAAGAGGAAGAAAGTGACTGGCCTGAAATCAGGATTGCTAAGGGGTTGGTGAGATTGCTCCTAAGCACTGCCTGCCTCTGCAGGTCTCTGTACCCACACTGGCTCCTCTGCCCCCCCTTCTACTCTGTAGGGATCCCTGGGGAGCATGGCTTCATCCCACTGACTGCTGAGAGCCAGGGGAGTGCACCCCCTACACAAAGGCTGCCCTGGCCCTGCCCTCTAAATAAACAGAACCGCTGCCTTGGCAATCTTGCCTCCAACCATGCTTCACAGTTATGAGGCATTTATGGGCGCCTGGGGAGCAGCTCACATCTCTTGAAGGCCTGGGAGGAATTGGGGTGAATCTGGCTGGTCTCCCCCAGTGTGAGGCGCCCAGCCTATTCTAGCTCATCTTAGGTGGGAACAGTTACAGGGATGGACCCTGAGAAGAAACACTGGTTTATTTTTCTTTTAGAAAGCACACATTGCAATTTATAGGCAAGCTAGAAACTATGAAAAAGCTAACAGAATATATGTACATTTTGAGACAGTCTTGCTTTGAGACTCCTGATCCTCCTGCCTCTTCAGCCTCCTCTGTGCCAGGACAATGAGCATATTAAGTTAAAATTACCCACAAGTCTCCATCCAGAGCTGTCAATGTTTTTGATACCTCTTTCTAGTATTTTCTATAACAAGCACCCCACGGAATTATTCTTGTTTTCCTTCTAATCCCACAGGATGCCGGGATTGCAAAGGAACCGTCCAACTTTTGTGTGTATGCTGGGGAATCCAAACTCAGGTCCACACTTTTGTGACGGTGCTGTCCTCACTGAGCCTGCACTCTTGAGATCTCTCACTGGACCTGTAGCTCACCAATCAGCTAGTCAGGCCGTCCAGCAAGCTCCAGCGACCTGTCCCCCCCCCCCCCCCCCCCCTCCTCCCCCGGGTTTTTACGGGGGGGGGGGGGCACCACTGCACCCAGCTTCTTACATGGGTGCAGGGATCCAGGTCCTCCCGTTGACAAGCACTAACTGAACTGTCTCCCCGGCCCTCTGAAGGCCTGAGAAAGGGTAGCACAGCCTTTCATCTCGTCCCTGGCCCCTTTCCTCTTCCCTCTCAGCCTCAGCTGGTGGCAGAGGGACTCCAGCCCCCAACAGGGAGTTGCTGCTGTTTCTCTGTGAGAACAGGGTCTAGCCAGATGTCCCGGCCCCACCACTGGTTGTTTCTGGTGGCCATGGAGAATGGCCGTCCTGGAAGGGCAGATCCAAGGCAGAAGGCTGCAGGCTGCCAGCTGGTTTCCAACCTTAGCTGAACAAGCAGGTGGCCCTTGGGACACAGCCAGGAGCTGAGATGGGCACTTCCCATAGCTGACCAGTGAATACATGGCTGGCCAAGAACAGGGTGGTTACAAAGGTAGAGGAGATGGCAGCCCAGGCCAAGGGACTGGAGCTTGCCACCTGGATTTGAAGTTGGCCTTGACAGCTACACTTTGTGTGACTTTTGAGTGACACACTCTGGTGTCGTCTTCTCATCTGTGAAAAGGGACAGTGGCAATAGTCCTGGTCTCCAAGGGCTATCTAGGAGTCAGTAAGCGCACACTGGCGGGGCTGAGAGCATGCCTGGCATAAAGCCAGTCTACTGTTTTATGGTTACCCATCCTGTCACCCCCACACCTACCATGTGACACAGCCTCACTGCTGCTTTCCCCCCTCCCTTTTTTCCTCTTTTCTCTCATATACCAGTGTGCTAGGCTCCAGGCACAAAGCACAAGCATCCTTGGGGGCAGATATGGCCCAGCCCTTCCACTTGCCCTATTCCTTCCCATATGCAGGCATCTGCCCAGTCTTCATGCTAGCCAAGACCAGAAAGGCATTGCAGACCTCTGTGCCCAAGAGACTCCCCTGTCCTGGGCTGACCTGCATGTAGAAGCTCAGTCAGAATCCCTAGGCCACGAACCTCTCTGCTTACATCTTCATGGCTGGCCTGGGACTCATAGCAAGCTTCCTTCGCCAGTCTTGTGTGCAGGGATTACAGACGCGAGGCTTGTTCTTTCTAGTTGCTCTCCTGCACATGCTGTATAGATGGGCTTGGAACTAGGCAGGGGAAACTGGCAGGACTTTAGAGAGGTGTGGATGGGATAGTGGGTGACCAGGAATTGGAGGTCCGAGGCTAAAAATTCCCAGTGGCCTTTGTGGAAGGCACTGATAGTCATGTGACTGTCCTGGGCTTCCAAGTCTCGCCCGGCTGACCTCCATTGCTCAGCAGCATTCCTTGCCCCTCATCCTTTCAAGGTCCTGCTTGATCCGAAATCCCCAAAGAGGTGTGGAGAGACTGTAGGGAAGGTCATGAGGGTCGGGCAGGGCTGGCTCGAGGAAGGTCCCGGGGCCTGACTGACACCTAGAACCCAGTAATATTGGACAGGGCTGGCCCAGGAACAGGTGGCAGGGCTTCAAAAGCAGGTCAGGTTGACATGCTGGAGATGCAGACTTGGGGGCATCGTTGTCAAGGAAGTAACTTGATTTCTAGAGGCACTATCAATGACTGGGAGACCAGCCTCCCAGGACCCCGTGCATCCAGCGCAGGAATAAGATCACAGATGGAGGCCCACATCCACACACCTATTTAAAATCCCCCATCATGGCATGCGAGGTCAGGTGTGTTCCCAAGATGGCAGCCCTCAGGGCTCTGGTATCGGGCTGCGGAAGGCAGCTCCAGATCGCAGGTTGAGAGAAGGGGTGGAGATCCAAGAAGGGAAGACGACTGGAATTGAAGAAACTCCCAAGGCAACTCCAAATCCCCTAACCCCTCAGGCCAGTGCCCCATCGGGTGCCGCTGGAACCGAAAGCACAAGCGTAACTCTGAGGATGTGCTGCTGCCCAGTCAATTCATCCGGCCACACACAGGCATGCTGCCCCGGAGTGTCACAGGCTTGTGCCTGGAAGAACACCGAAAGATCAAGAAGTGTGTAAAGATGGCTCACCAAGCAGGTCTATTCCCCGATCACAGACCCCGGCTTCCAGAAGTGTCCTTATCAAAGAATAAACCCAAGCTCAACCGCTACCTGACTCACTGGGCTCCCAGCTCAGTCAAGCCCATCTATGAAAAAGGCCACCGTTGGGATTAGGTGGGTATGGCTGTGGGGTCACCACTCCTGAAAGACAGTGTCTGCTATTCCAGAAGCCGCGCTGAATACCCCAACTAGAACCTTCCAGATGATGTACCTGCCCCTCCTACCAGAGCTACTGCCCTCCACACACAGCATGGGGACTTCAGAACTAACTTCTGTTCCCTGGATCTACCCAGCCGTGATGTTGGGAGCCAGGGCAGGCAGGAGCTGGCCTGTGGTCTTCTGACTAGCTTGGGCTGAGATCGGTGCAAGGGCAGGAGCCGTTTACAAAGAAAGGTAATAAAGCAGGCTCTTAGCAATAAATAAATAAATAAATAGATAGATAGATAAATAAATAAATAAATAAATAAATGGCCCCCCATCATGCCAGATATAGTGGTCTATATAATCCCAACTGGTCTACAGAGTGAGTTCCGGGACAGCCAGAGCTACATAGTGAGACTCTGTCTTAAGTAAATTTCCCCATCCTGTCATGAGTTCAGAGCAACCAATCCGTGCTGAGCAATGAGGACCAGGTTTTTATTAGTGTTTTGGGACTATTAAAGGAGTGGCCTGAACCCCTTCCACACTGACCTATAATCCTGAAGGGATGCAGGCTCTTCTGGGCATGTTCATATGGCAAGGAGATTGGAAGAAAGATGAGGGAAGGAGGGAATTAAATTCCTAGGGATTTTCCCACTGCACCCCCCCTTCTCCTCACACCTGACACGCAATTCTACTTGTTTCTCCCGAGCTCAGTTCTAGAAAGCTCCAGCAGGGAAGCTTAAAATGCCCTTGGCTTGGAAACACTCTTCTCTAGGAAGAGGAGGACTCCCGTGAATAAAGGTAGATCCCACAGCTGGGTAAAGAAGCCAGGCTGGTTGGTGGGCCCCTGGGATAGCAGGGTCAGAGTGAGTCCAACAGAATGCTGACAGCACAAACTCTTACTTTTCCTAAGAGTGCACAATAATACTTTTAAAAGTATCATTAGGGCATGGGAAGGGTGATGGGAGGGTGGGCATTTGCATAAGTTGGGGGGGGTAGAAAGAACAGTTTTCCATGATAAGCAACCAGCACTGGCAACTACCCACTGAATACTTCCAAACAGTTGGTAAAGTGCAGCTAGGGCTACCAACAGGCATCTTAAGGGATAAACATGCCTATCACCATGATCTGGTCACTGCACACCATGTACCTGGGCTGAAAGGTCATATAGATGTCATAAATGAGTCCATCACTGAAGTCACTAAGGGTCAGGAGACGGCTCAGTAGGTGAAGGCACCTGCTGCCGAGCCTGGCCACAGCTCGGCCTCGGGCCCCACACAGGAGAAGAGAACTGCTTCCCGCAAACTCTTCTCTGAGCTCCACAGGTCGTGAGTACTACGGTGTGTGCATCTACACACACTAAATAAAATGGAATTTTAAGGGCTGGAGAGATGGCTCAATAGTTAAGAGCACTTGTTGCTCTTGCAGAGAACCCAGGTTCAATTCCTACCACCCACAAGCACCTTTAAGTCCAGCTCAAGGGGATTCAAGGACTCTAGGAACACACACAGATGTACACATACCCACAGCCCCCACCCCCATACTCACATAAGACAACAGATTATTTAAATTTCCAGAGGAAAAGTCTTTCCACTTTTACATGGCTATAGTAAATGATATTAAGAGGAAAACCTTTGCCTGGCAGTAGTGGCGCACACCTTTAATCCCAGCATTCAGAAGACAAAGACAGATGAATCTGAGTTTGAGGCCAGTCTCAAACTGGTCAGCCTGGTCTACAGGGCACCCAGAGCAACAGAGAAACCCTGTCTCAGAAAACCAAAAAAGAAACCTGTCTCCATGACTTCATACATACGTCCAAGCCGTGTCCAAAGCCAAGAGCAAAATCTCAAGAAAATCAAGGGTTTTGCACAATGATGTGGGCTCCTTGCAGGAAGAATTAGTTGGGTAATTTCACTTTCTCCTTGGCCTTGCTGCATCACCCTTGGGAACTTCTCCTCTGGACAGAAACAGCAAATATCCCATTTACTTTTCTTGGAGGGAGGCCACATCCAAGGAACTCAGAGATGATGTAACTATGAAGCCCTTATTGCTGCTGACTCTACAGGAGCTAGACTCCAATGCTGGCGGTGCCATGGAAACATCCAAGAACTAAAACTTCAAGGCCAAGAGTTATACTCCAAATCCATTAGATCAGAAGTTCTGGGGTGAGCCAAATTAATTCTCCCTTGCTAATTCCCACTGTAACTACTCTATCTGTAGTAGAAAAAGAAAGGCAGTGGTATTCCTGGTCACCATGGTTTTAGCTGCTATGAAGACTGCCACTGACATCCCTTCAAGTGGTGAGTGCCTTCTACACAGCAGAAGGGGGTGATAACTCTGGTCCCTTGTGAGCAGAAACTGACTCTGTGGTGCTCACAACACTAAATTTTCTTTAAGTTCAAGCTAAACTTTACATTGCTCCCTAAATTGTTTATTCCTCAATGAACAGTGAAACCAAGGATGTGGTGTGACTGCATGTAACTGTGTATTGGTCCAGAGAGGGAGGCCTGGTTACTTCAATACCTAATGTACTTAGTAACTAACGTACTAGTTATTTACTATGTTAGCTACCATGCTAACCAATTCCAGAGATGAAGTGACCATGGCCCAGCATCATCCTCTTTTCTTCCCCGTGATCTGAGTGCACCCTGAGTACAGGAAGGCGCAGAGAGCAGAACAAGTGCCTTTTAAGTGATAGCTTTCTGCAAGCCACGGTGTGTTTTCCAAGTGTCTGTAATCACTGGCAATTACCCAACTTGGACATGGATGCCCTATGCCTCCACGGGCATTTCCAGTAGTGCCTGTCCAGGTCACTGCTCATTGGCTACTGTCTCAACCTTCCTGGACCCCAGCCTAATGGTGAACCTGCTATAATTTGTAAGATGTCCAGGTGGCAGTGGGGAGGTTCTTAACCTTACCTAGATAATTCCAAAGGGAACTGGGGACAAAGACAGTGGAACTGGGCAGGTCAGGCAATTAAACAAGAAGCTGGCAGAGTAAAGGGTCACCTGGCAGCATCTTCTGCTTTAATTTAGCAACATACAATACTTCTAACCCACATCAGTTTTCTTTTGTTTTTAATTCTCCCATTTTCTATTAACAAAGATAACAGGTTTATATTTGTTAAAATCCAGTTATGAAACCAGAGCATACAAAACACAAAGCTACAGAAAGATTCCCAATGTGCGTAATTTTAGAAAATAGTTTAGTACACTCTTGTTATAAAACTCATTTACAGGAGATTATTCACATGTTTTTGTTCAAATTTGCTCCTGATAATTCATGAAAGCATAACTGAACAAACTGTGGTAAATTAAATTAAAGCAAAATAAGACAGGTATACATTCGCCTGGAATAACATTCTGAAAGTAGACAGGGAAAGTTCCTTTAACCACAGAAAGGACAATGTCAACTTTTCACCTTGTCAGCCTTAACTGCTCACAACAGCACCCGAAACAGCAAACACTTTCTGAAAATACCTTTGCCAACCGAAATAAATAAGGTTTCAAACTCTAATGCCACATAACTATATTCTGCTGAGAGTGTTCGAAGGCGAGGCCTGGTTGCTGGAAAGGAGGTTACAAGGACTCAAGGCCCTGGCCACAGTCTAGTCCCAGTAGCTCTTACACTCACAAAATAAACAGGGTTTCAAGACCCTCCTAATTCTCACATACTCTGATGAGGTTAGCAGCGAGTCTGCAGATGAACAAACATGCCATTCTATACAATACTCTGGGTGGCAGCCAACCACATGTTTTGGAAAATCGTCTTTTTAAAACATGTTCCTTCACCTATGCGGTAACGTGAGCAGAGGGAAATGCCCTGGTCACTGCTGTTTTGTCACGCACACCCCACTCAGAAGTCCACTTTTCCTAAAGTGGTCACATTCTCAAATCCCTGTTAACCTGAGTACTTCTTAAAAGACACCAGGAAAGAAAATTTCAAGTAACAGTGAGGTTTCCTGCCAATGTCACATGCAAGAGACTTATTAACCCTTGCCCTAGCCAGAGCGGATTTACTTCCCACCTAGCTGGGTCCAGCCAGGAGGCTGAAGCACTCTGAAGATTCCGACTCCCTAGTTTTACAAGTGTCCAGGAGACATTAAGGGTACATGTCTGCGCACCTGTGCAAAGAGAGAGCTCAGGAAACTTGGCGAAATGCACACTGTTTTTTCAAAAGCTCTTAACAAATAAAACCTGCTTCAGCAGAATTTCAAAAATCCTTTTGTTTAAGAACAGATGACAGAATTCCAAACAGCAAACATTAATTTTCAGAGATGCCTTCCTCCCCAAAGCAGCTAATGGGCTGTATGTACAGCAGTCACCAGACCCTCACATTCACATGCTCTGCTATATGGAGGTTTGGAAACCTGACTGGTTAGGCAGCCCGCCCTTGTCCTGACTCCAGTTCCTCTCACAGGCATACTAGGTGATGGAGGCCAGGCACCCAGTAGTACAACACTCCCACCTACTGCAAGGTCCTGAAGCCCAGGTGGCAGCTTTCTCTTTCTCACATATCTTTTCTGCCTGAGATGCACTATCTGCTGTCCTGTGCAGCTCCCAAAGAAATTCCCCCAAAAGCATCCACTCTTTTTTTCTAGCAACCCTCAAGCCTTCCCAAGCAACCTGCACAGGCCAGGCCAGTACAAATCTTCCATTCAGTAAGTGTCTCCAACTCAGCAGTTACATCAACCTTATGAAACACTGGGAACATCTGACAGTTCAAGAATTGTTCTTCTGTTCTGAGAAGGGAAGGAAATTTAGCCAGAAAACTAAGTCATACACTAATATAGGTGAGTGAGTTACAGTAATGCCCTGTGCCAAGCTGCCTTGTCTCAAAGTGCACAACAGCTCCCGACATGCTGCCTTCTCAAGGCCCAAGAGACCCTAGCAGTTTTTTATTCAAGACACTGGTCGCTGGTACCAACTTGGCTAACTTCCAGTACCAAGGCTGGTAAAGAAACTTGTCTACCTCACAGGACCAAAAGGAATTGTCCTCCTAACTAAGTTTGTTCTGTTGGAAAATGACTAATGTTTTCAGCAGAGGAAGGAAATGTCATCTACCTGCTTATATTTTTGAAGGATTTTAAATGTGCTACAAAGACTCACAGTTTAACCTTTACAACATTCATTTGACCTGACCTTTTCTATGAAACAAAAGATCCCACCATTTTGAATTTTTGGCCTCAGGGACATTAGAAATATACAAACACCCTCTCGAAATGTATATAACTGGCAAAAAATACTGAAGATGACCAACAGCCCAAGGGTCAGAGGTATTTCCATCCTTTAACACAGATTCTTCAAGGGAACAAAATAAAACCCAGCTTATCTGTATGGTGCCACTAGCTACGCGTAAACGACAGTCTCATCACCAGGAGCTACTATGGAAACCGGCTCTTCTTGGCACTGCTGGGCTCCTGCTCCAGCCTCCTCCTGTCCCAGTCAGCACTCCTCAGCATGTGATGACTCACAGAGCCACGCCTTTCTTCTTCACCAAAGGCCCTAGGCTCTCTTCTGTGACTGAACCCAGAGTCTGGGGCACTGTACTTCCTCTTACTTGTGGTAGGAGCAGCAGGGTGAGCAGGCGGTGGCTCAGCCTGTAGAGGTGACCTGTGGCTACTCAGAGGAGCAACGACAGCAGTGGATGGTCCCACAACAAAATTCGGGTCCTGTAAAATCGAAGGAACGCAATGGGAGCCCAAAGACTGTGGATCTTTCAGGGATGCTCCCTTGGATTCAGTATCCAATCTTCTAAGTAGTCGTGGATCTCGAAGTCGGTCTTGAGGAGGTATCCTTTCAGGTTCCTTTGAAGTGACAGTGTCAGAGGGCGTGTGGTACAGAGAAGCAGCAGAAGGTGTCTTGGCATGTCCGCTGTCTAGCTTGTTGCTGGGCAAGCCACCCTGAGGTCTGGGTGCCTCTGGGGCAGTGGCTGGAGGATGAGTCAGACTCCTCTGCAGCACAGGCTTCAGTTTCAGAATCTTCATTGCATCATGTCTATAGTGTGGGTCACAGGTCTTAATAATGGCCCCACGCTTCTGAGCATCCTGAATCAGTTCATTCCAATGTTGGTTTTCCTGAATTGGAGGAGAGAAAAACAATCATACTCTACAGAAACACTCACTTTGCAGGGGAAATATGGGAGTCCAACTTTCATTTTTAAATAAACAAGTGTAGTCTGAGTAGATCCCCAGAGACAAGAGTGACAGAGAAGCTCAAGCACCAGTACTGAGGAGGCATAACTAAACACCAGGGCTGGTGATAGCTGCAAGGACACTCTACTCTCATCTCTGCGGTCCACAGAGCACAGGGAGATGCTCTCCCACAGTGCATTAGCTGTTCCTAGCTCTGCCGAACTGTTTAAAATTACGTTAACTAAAATTGAAAACTACTGTACCTCTGATGCATCAACCCACTTCAAGTGCACAATGGCTACAGCAAGCACATGACCTCCCCATCGCTGTACAAGGCTCCTCTGCACCCTGCTAATCTACACTACCACTTACTCCTGGGCATGGCTGACATTTGGCTGACATTCTAACGGTTAAAACTTGGTTTCAGAGTGAGGTAACCCAGATACAAAAAGACAATTATCACATGTACTCACTCAAAAGTGGTTTTTAAACATAAAGCAAAGAAAGTCAGCCTACAAACCACAATCCCAGAGAACCTAGACAACAATGCGGACACTAAGAGAGACACACATAGATCTAATCTACATGGGAAGTAGAAAAAGACCAGATCTCTTGAGTAAATTGGGAGCATGGGGACCTTGGGGGAGAGTTGAAGAGGGGAGGGGAGAGGAAGGGAGGGAAGCAGAGAAAAATGTAGAGCTCAATAAAAATCAATTAAAAAAACAAACAAACTTGGTTTCAGAAGGCAAATTTCTGACCACATATGAAAAAAACCAAATTTATAAGGCCTACCAATCCCCTAAGGACTAAAACATCTTAATCTACTGAGGGAGGAATTCAAAGATATTCTCCTGTCATTTAAATTTAAAAAAAAATGTGTATGGGTATTTGCCCATATATGTACATGTACTACATATATGCATGGTGATCATGGAGACCAGAAGATGGCGCTGTATTCCCTGGAACTGAAGTTACAGGAGGTTGTGAACTGACACGAGGATTCTGGGAACCAAACCTGGGTCCTCTACAAGCGGAGCCAGTGCTCTTAACCCCTGAGCATCTCTCCAGCCCCCATGACTTTATTTTAAAATGTCAACATTATAATATCTTAGAAACAATCTTCTAGCAATATTTATGATAAAATTTTGTTTTCCTTATTAACTTAAACAGATATAAAACAAGAGTATATACAGTTTTTTACAGCTTCTTTCAAAGGGTACGCACAAACCAGAGATCTGGGTAAGATGGGAAGATGCATCTGTATGCTCTTGGCTGCTATTAACAAAATAGGGAAGGAAAACAAGCTAAGTTCACATGCTCATTCAGACCCGGTCCAACTGGATTTGGTGAGCTCCCATTAGAACAGGCACACTGCCTCAGTTGGTTTAACAACCTCTCGCGGTCCTGACTTCCTTGCTCATCTTCTCCCTCCTTCTGCCTTTCAACTGGACCTTGGTAGCTCAGTGTGTTGTTCTGATGAGGGTCTCTGTCTCTATCTCCATCTGTCAGCAGATGAACTGACTGAGAAGCCATTGATAAAGGCACCGGGACTTGTTTTAAGGCATGTTCTGGCTTTTTGGGACCCTAGTCTGTATGGATGCACAGCTCCCTGTGCTGGATGTAGGGGGGAGGGCCTTGGACTTCCCACAGGGCAGGATTCCCTGCCCTCTCTCAAGCAGGGAGAGAGAGAGGGAGGATGGGGTGTGGGGAAGCGGGAGGGGCTTGGGAGGAGGGAAGTGTAAATATTTGAATGGAAAAATAAAAAAAAAAAAAAAAAGAAAAAAAAAGAAAAAGAAAAGAAAACAAGCTAAGTTGGCTCCTTGCTTCATTCAGATGACCACTTTTTTTTTCCTCTGTGTAACAACTCTGGATGTCCTGGAACTTGCTCTGTAGACCAGGCTGACCTCAAACTCAGAGATCTGCCTCTGAGTCTGCCTTCTAAGTGGTGAAATTAAAGGCACACACTTATAGAAACAACAAGTTATTGGGCTGGCAAGAGAGTTTTGATGTTAAAAGATAAGACTTACAATCAAAAGTTCAAAAGCACCAATACATTGCAACCCTAGCTGAGCTAGCTGAGCAGCAAGCACACACTACCTAGTTGTCTGTCACTGGCTTCACTCGTACCATCTGCCCACTAAAAATGTAGAGAGCATTGCTCTTCATTCTAAGCAGAAAGCCCTAGTGTACACACCTGTACTTGAGCTAAGAAAGAACGGTTTCTATGGACACTCACAACCAAGCTGCTGAAGACTTAACCTTTATTTTGTAACTGAGAAATTATTTTCATTTTTAAGAAAAAAAATCCGTAATAGCTAACACTGGATATACTTGGAACTCCCTGTAGCCCCCAGAGAGTGTACCTACCATCAGAGTCCTCAAATGTCCAAGGATAAAAAGGCTGTATTTGGCTCGTGTAATGGTGACATTCAATCTCTGCAAACTCGCCAGGAATCTAAGCAACAACAAGAAAGTTACTTCTGTATGCAGAATGGAATCATATCCCTTCAGAGGGTGCAGGCAGTACTGGAAGCAGCGTCTCCAGAACCCCTTCCTTCCTAGTTGGAGTGCTTCCTCACTATCTGCCCCAACTCAGGGTACCTGGCACAGAAGCCAATGCCATTAAAATATTGAGCAAACCCTTGGTGCTTTACTTCCAAGTTAAATATTAAAAGCTCCTATTTTGACTTGGATAAAAAATACTGGAAAGTTAACAATGTAACTTAAAATTAAAAAACCTCCAAAAAGGGACTAGAAAGTCAGCTTAGCAGTTAAGAGCAGCTGCTTCTCTTTCAGAAGATTCAACTTCCATTCTAAGCAACCATCCTACGCAAGTGCACACACATAAAACTAAACTAAAAACTACAGTTAAGTTAAATTTAAAGTAATAAACTATTGTGGAACTAGTATAGAAATACATAAATATATCAATATAGAAGGACAATGGGTATGTGATAATGGTGAAATTTTAAATTAAATCTCTAATTTGTTGGGGTTTGTGTGTGTGTGTGTGTTTCCCCCAAGGGTTCTTCTATATAGCCCTGGTTGTCCTAGAACTTGCTTTATAGACCAGGCTGGCCTTGAACTCAGAGAATCACCTATCCCTGACTCCCAAGTGCTAGGATTCAAGGCATGTGCCACCTACATCCATCTCAAATCTTTAACTTCTTTATCTCATGAAAAAAAATCATCTGGTGACTTAACAGCATACTTAACATCTTAAGTAAGTAAACTAAGAGTATTTAAGATTGCACCCTTAGATAAACTGTGTAGCATGTACCATGTGACAATGACAATTATAGATCCCTGCAAAAAATACAATTAGAACATCAGTTTTACTGAACAAAAGACACACCCTATGGAAAAGGATCAACATACAAAACACTAGGAAAAGCAGATCTTACAGATCATCTACTTCACAATTTAGACTTTCAAGATGTTGCCTAGGCTATGCGCATGCACACACACGCGAGCACATATAAAGCCAGGTGTCTTCCTCAATTGCTCTCCATTTGGTTTTTTGAGACAACACTGAACCTGGGACTCATCACTTAGGCTAAGCACTGTTAATAAAATAGTAACTCTGCTTTAAAAAAATAATGTTCTTTTCTGCTAAAAGAAGCACATTTTCCTTAAATTGTAATAAGCATTGTTAGTAGAATACTGTTTTCTCGAAAGAAACACATGATCTTTCCTATGAAAAGAAGCATATCTTCTTTAAACTGTACTAAGCACTGTTAGTAAAATGAGTTTTCTTTAAAATAACACTTGCTCTTTTTTGTGAAAAGAAGCACGTTTTCTTTAAACTGTACTAAGCATTGGTAGAAGAATAGTGAGTTTTCACTAGCCAGCAAGTTCCCAGATATGCCTATCTCTGGCCTGGGGATAGGGTTATAGATGTGCACCATCATGCATGGTTTTTTACACTGGTGCTGGACAGTCACAATCAAGTTCCTATGCTTGTACAGCAATCACTTTACCATCTCCTGGGACAAACTATTATATACAGTGGTTCTCAACCTTCCTGATTCTGCAATCCTTTAGTACAGTTCCTCATGTGACCCCGACCATACAATTTTTATTGCTACTTCGTAACTGCAATTTTGGCACTGTTATGATTTGCAATGTAAGTATCAGATATGATGGATATCTGATATGCAACCTCTGTGAAAAGGTCATTTGACACCTCTCCCCACCCATAGATTGAGAACACTGTTTTAAACAAAAGAAAATTAACAAAGCAAACGATAGGGTTCTCTAAGAGCAGTCACTGGTGAGTCTAGATGACAGAACTGATTCTCAACAAGTGACAAAGCAATGTGAGCTACTTACCCAATTGAGCCTTGCTCAGAACTTGCCCTGACACATGTAACAATTATACAGTCTTTCTGCCGGCCCTGGAAGGCATCCACTGTATCCACTTCTGCAGGCCTGTTTACAAAAGGCACGTGTTTACCAAAAAATGTAAAATTGTCAAATACACATACACAGCAGTATTTAAAACTCTTCATTGTGATGGCAGTGGTGGTGACACAAGCCTTTAACCTCAGCACTCGGGGGCCAGAGACAGGCATATCTGAGTTCAAGGCCAGCTGGTCTACGAAGTAAGTTCCAGGACAGCCAGGGCTACACAGAGAAACCCTGTCTTGGAGAAAAGAGAAAATATATATATTGAGTTGTAAGGTTCGTCGTATATTTGAGATTAGGATAGTCCTTCAGACACACAGCTTCTGAAGTCAGTACGTCATCCTTACTTCATTCTTCTCATAGCATCTTTGGAAACATAATTCTTAAGTGTTTATGAAGTCCACAAGAAACCACATATACAGGCTGAGAATCACTGCATATAATAGTTTGTCCCAGGAGATGATTCATTTTAGTAAACTAAGGCTATACATATTTATGTGATGCTTTCTTAAGTCTTTTGAGTCTTCTATGGTTTTATCAGCTTGATGACTTCTGGAAAGAGACAGCTGGTATCCTGGCAGAGAAAGTACCGTTCTTCTTTGGGGAACTGCCGCCAGAACAGTACCGAGTCTTCTTATCTATAAACATCTCTCCGTGTTCTGGGTGTTTCAATTATTTCTTGTAACATACTTTGTAGTTTCCAGTGGATACATCTTATACTGTTTCGGTTTTATTTACTCCTAATTATTTTATTACTTTTGGTGCCATTTTAAGTGGGATGTTTTTACTTCCTGTGCAGACTACTCACTGAAGAACAGACTGTTATATATTGATCTTGTTTTCTACAAGTCTCTTAAACTTGTTTGCTTAACCCCCCAAGGGTTTCTTTGTGCAGCTTCATTAATGAATCTATAAATATAACCACACTGAAATATTTATAGTCGTACAGAAGATAAACACTTGCTCTGGCTAAAACCTCTACTACAATGGACAACAGAATAAGAACAAGTATCTTTCATGGTCTATAGAAAGGACTGCTGAGCCATCAAGGGACAATGTTACCTATGTGTTTTTTTATAGATGCTTTTAATCAAGTTAAGAAATTTTCTCTGTAGCCCTAATAACCTTTTCGGTTATCAAAGATGATGGGTTCTGTTAAGAGCCTTTTCTGTTATCTATTGGTATGACATATGGGTCACCTTCTCAATCTAATTGCTTGTCTGTTTTCTGAGACAGTCTCCATTCTGGCCTCAAGCTCATTATGATCATCCTGCCTTGACCTCCCTAGATGGAGGCTCCAAGAATGAGATGCCATATCCTGCTTCCTTCTCTTATTCCATTAATATGCTGAGCTAACACTGTACTTTGGGATAATAAACTTCACTCGGTCATGATGTACAGTCCCTTTAACATACGCTGAATTCAGTCTGCTGCTTTTTGTTTAGCTTTCTTACATCTGCAATTATGACTGCTTATCAGCCCTGTGGTTCTTAAACACCTTCCTGAGTTTGGGGGTCATAAAATGAATTACAAAGTGTTCGTGGAGCTGGCAACATGGCTTATCACATAAGGCAGCTTGCCATCAAGCCTGATGACCTTAGTTTCATCCCAGAAGCAATTAATAAAGGTTGTCCCCTAACCATATGCACACCATTGCATGCCAGCCCCCAACATAAACAGACTTTAAAAGAAATTGAAAGTGTTTTGTGCTAAGTATTACTGGGCTTTCTGTTGTTGTTTTCAGATAGGGTATTTCCTATATAGCCCAGGCTGGTGTAAAACTAGATCCTCCAGCCTCAGATTCCCGAGCGCAAGGATTACAAGCATACAACTGTGTTATTGCTAACTCTGGATAGCCAGCTGGTGGAACTCAGCAAACAGGTCTAATTCGTTTCTCATCACTGGGAAGTTTTGATTACTAGCGCTACTTGCTATATATAGTCTCTTCAGATTTTTTTTTCTCTAAAGTCAGGTTTTTTTTGTGTTTCTAGATTAAAGACTTAACATGCTGTTTTGGTAGTTTCAAAGATTTGTGTGTCAAAAGAGTCATGGTGCACATGTGCATGTGAGTAAAGGCCACAAGAGAGTCCTAGGTGTCCTCCTCTATCATTGCCTATTCTTTGAAAGGGTTTTTCCCTAAACCTGAAGCTCATTCATGCTTTCTCAGATAGACTAGAAGCCAGGAAACTCCAAATGATTCTCCTGTCTGCCTGCTTATGAGCTTGGGTTACAGAGAAGCATACAGGACACTCAGCTTGTTGCCTAAATGCTGGGGTCCGAACTCTGTTCATGATTGTATATAAAGTGCAATCTTAGCCACTGAGCCATTGCTTCAGATTGTTTGGTGAGATAGGTTTTATGTAACCCATGTTATCCTTGAACTCACTGTGTAGCAGAATGTGATGATCAGTGTTAACAGTCAACTTGGTAAAAGTTACAACAGCCTAAGCTATGGGTCGCGGCAACTCTCTAGGGGATTATCTATGGATGGTATTAGTTGAGCTGGGAAGACCCACCCAGTGTGGGTGACACCATTCTCTACGCAGGAGATCCCAGACTGTGTAAAAGTGGAGAAATCGAGCTCATCACTAGCATGCATGCATTCACTGCTCTTCTTCTTCTGACTGGATGCTTCAGGGTCCTGCTGCCTTGACTCCCCCATCATGATGGGCTGTAATAAACTGTGAGGTGAAATAAACCCTTTAATGCTTTTGCCAGAGAATTTTGTTACAGCAATGGGGAAAAGACTATGGCACCAAGAGTACCTTGACTGATCATTCTGCCTCTACCTTCCATATACTGGAATTACATGTTTCTTACCACACACCTGACACTGACTTCCAGATTTTAATCTTTAACTTTACTGTAGAGGTAAAGAGACAAAAGCACAATCATAGCAGGTCCTGGAGGCTCTGTAATTCCAAGTACACAGGGGACTGAGGCAGGAGGATAGCAAGTTCAATGACAACCACGGAAACTTACTGACACAGTCACAAAATAAAGAGGACTGGGTAATATAGCTCAGAGATGCTTAGAGTATTTGTCTAATATACAAGGCCACAACTTAACCCCAGTACTGTTGAGAAAAAAAAAATTCAACTTTTATAAACACCAGAAAAACATGTAAAAATACGTCACCCTTTCTTGTCAAATTCTTTCTCCAAATCCTTCTGGATCATAGTCTTCTGAGCCTTGTAATGGGTTATTATGCCAATATTTCGGAAGGAAATATCTTTTCTTTTGTCTTTAATAAGCTTAATTATTTCCATCACCAACTTTATTTCTTGAACATTTATATATGAGCTAAGATAGAAAAACAAGATAATGTATCAAATCTCATAGCAGTCTAACTGCTCACTAGTTGCATTTAGCTTGATTCTCATTACCATACATAGACAGGTCTTTTCTGTCAGGCGGCAGTGTCATTAGGATGTAATAGTAACTACTCATATTTATATGAATAACTGTCCAATCCAGGAAGTGATTGTAAAAAAGGAATTTGTAATCAACTGAAGTTTGAACCAATAACCACACAACTGAAAACATGCCACCTAGAGAGCTAAACATGAACAACATGGCCCCAGGATCAAACAGCATGAAAAGCCTTCTCATCCTACCATTATCATCTTTGCTGGCTCTATAACCTGTACTCCTGGTCCAGACCTCAAGCATGTGTGTCCTTTTATTACTAAACTAGATCCAACCAACACCAGCATGGGCCATGTTATCCTGAGCCTTAAAGCGTAATAACTACTGACATGCTATCTGCTATACTAAAGACGTCCCAAAGGGGACGGCTCCCTCTCCTAGTCCTTGGTTTCTCCTCCGGTTACAATCCTATCCAGGTTCCTTGCGGTCTTCTGGTTCTATAACCTGCATGGTGCTCAGCTGTTTATCTGCAGCTCTACTTCTGAAAGTGCCACATAAACCTTTCAGTTGCAATCCCTGTAGCATCGCAATCCTACAGGAAAACACCTCTGTATTTTTCACTTCTTCAAAGAACGCAACGTCCCATTTTCTATTCTGATCTTAGAAGCTGCATTTTCATATCTCCCCACAGCAGGCAGTATTTATGCACGTGTTAACAATACCTCTAGACTATTAATTCCTCTAGTCAAAGCAATCCTTGTCTCCTGTGATAGATTTGCTACCTAGAAACAAATCACTCACTCCACTTTGCAGTCATAGGTACCCAACCCAACCCATTCCCTCACAACTCAAAATCCTTAAAACACAGTCCCACCAAGTCACTTTCTACTCTCTTAATATTAGCCCATTCACACAACTGCGTCTTTTTTTTGTTTGTTTGTTTTTTCGAGACAAGGTTTTCCTGTATAACACTCCTAGCTGTCCTGGAACTAGCTCTTATAGACCAGGCTGGCCTTGAACTCACAGGGATTCGCCTGCCTCTGCCTCCCAAGTGCTGGGATTAAAGACGTGCGCCACCACGGCCTGGCCACATAGCTGCATCTTTTCATTGTAGTTAACCCACCTGGAAAAGTTGCTCAACTCAATGATTAGTTAATGCCTGTCTTCCCAGGAGACCATAATCACCTTACAATGTCACTGCTATGACCTTTCAAGGACTTACTGGTCACCTGAGAGTATTGCCCAATTAAACAGAAAAGGGGAAGTTATCAAAACTGATAGTGAAAATGACTGTGCCCTGGTACTAGAGAGACATGTATGGGAAAGGCTTATAACCTAATAATTCTGAGGCCATTACTGAGAACGAAGAAGAGAAAAACATACTCATTATCCCGTCGTTCTGAACCATCTTCAACATCAAACACAAGGTAGGGCTGAAATGGCCACTCTGATGAACATCGAGCAGATTCAGTGCCTCTACAGAAAAGCAACCATAGTCAGAAAATAAGCTCTAAAGGACACTTTATCAATATTTTTTCCTGTGTAAGACAGAAACAGGAAAAAGTTAAGGGTAACAGTCTTTCACTGATGCACAGCAGTGAAGAGTCTAAACTTGATTTTATTTCCATTCTGGTACCAAGGAAGGTGAGATTCACAGTTATGACTAGAGGAAAGCTAGATACACGAGATAAACAACCAGGGCTAGGGAAACGTAGTGGAGCCTCCAAGCAAACACAAAAACACAACTAACAGCTAGGCTTCAACCCCAGCAGCACCACATAAGTCAGGCCATGAGGTTACTACTGACTGTATCTGGTTATATTTAATATGGTGACTTCTGTCTCCTCTTTTTGTCTTTTTCAAGACATGGTATGTAGCCCAGGCTGGCCTCAAACTCAAGAGATCAACCGACTTCTGCCTCCTGACTGCTGGGATTAAAAGTGTGAACCACCACAGCCCTGCCCCCTCTTTTTTCAATCTATATTTGATATAATCAATATAGCTTTTATAATTAGAGAAAAATCACTTCAAACTGATTTAAGCAGATCAGTGCTCCCCACCCACCCAACAGGGTTTTATTCTGTAGTCTAGGCTGGCCTCTTAACTCTCAGCAATCTTCCTGCCTCAGTTTTCCAAGTAACAGGATCACCCATATCAGCTAACACAGCTAGGTAGCCTGATTTATAATTTTTATGCCAAGATTTCTACACAAGCAGCTAAATCTTCAAATAGGACAAGTTTATAAGTAATACAGGACACCCACCTATTTGTTTTCAAGTTTTTGTTATAAACATAATTAGAAGGGAAGAGACAAATGTCTGGATGCATCCTATACTGAATGGTAAGCTGTAAAACCGGCAGTCTGCCAATCATGTTCTGTTCCACATTCTCTTCAAGCAGCTTGCAGAATCGTGCCATCATTGACTGATCGTACCCATACTCCTGTGCTTTCTGAGAGGAAGAAAAGTATTTAAAAGTTTGTAACAAAAAAACAAAAAACAAAAAACAAACAAACAAACAAAACTGCCCAGGGCAGTCGGCGCATACCTTTAATCCTAGCACTTGGGAGGTAGAGGCAGGTGGATCTCTGTGAGTTCAGGGCCAGCCTGGTCTACAGAGTGAGTTCCAGGACAGCCAGGGATACAGAGAAATCCTGACTCAAAAACAGACACAAACAAACAAACAAAATCTGTCTTGATATTTCCCACAAAAAGAAATGTAATAAAGAAAATAGTACCTAAATCATGCTGGCACTCAAAATATAATACTGAAAAAATGAATAAATGTACACACAAATGCTTGGCAGAATCTTCTAAATTACTAAATTCTCGATGGTAATTATCTCCACAAAATAGTGGGTTTTAAAAAACCTACGTGAGCCAGGAGTGGTGGTACATCACCTTTAACCCCAGCACTTGGGAGGCAGGCAGATCTATGTGAGTTCCAGATCAGCCTGGTCTATAAAGCGAATTCCAGAACAGCTCTGGCTAGTACACAGAGAAGCCCTGGGGGGGACGGGACAAGTGCATGAACAAGTTGGCTCAGTGGTTAAGAGCACTTCTTATTCTTGCAAAAGGCCCAGTTTGATTCCCAGCATTCACATGGAAATTCATGCACAAAAAAAAATAGTACTTTTTAAAAAGACATGTAAAAAAAATCAACTTTGCAATCATTTTTAAGTTTTTCTTCAGTAAGTTTATTTGTATAATAACTTTGAAAAGCACAAATAGTTGGATCTTTTCATTCTTGATGTTTTTACCAAGTATCAAAACAAATATGTTGAGGCCATCAGTTACCCTTTCAGGAGTCTGTTAAAGCCCAGTATACCCGAGAGCGGCAGCCGCTCTGCCCCACAGAGGCTGTGCACTCATGCGCACACCTCATCAGGAAATCACAGTCAAAACTGACTGGCAACAACAAAACAGGTACAGCCCCTCCAGCAGGGGAAGCCTGGAGCACTGCAATGTGACCTTTAGGGTTTCCTGTCTTTGAAACTCTAGCCCATACACTCAGAAGAACAGCTGTGAACAAAGAGGACATTTGCAGAGATATTCATTCTCTTTGGAGACAAGGTCTCCCTGTGTATCCCTAGCAGGCCTCAGCTGAGAATCTGCTTAGCCTGCTGAGTGCTAGAACTGCAGCCATGCACAATCATGCCACAATTTTCTTTTCTTTTCATATTTATTTATTTATTTATTTAGTATGTATACAATTTTCTTTCTGCGTGTATGCTTAAAGGCCAGAAGAGGGCGCCAGACCTCATTACAGATGGTTGTGAGCCACCATGTGGTTGCTGGGAATTGAACTCAGGACCTTTGGAAGAGCAGGCAATGCTCTTAACCGCTGAGCCATCTCTCCAGCTCCACAATTTTCTTATGAAACTTCAAATAGCACTTCTCTTTTCTGTCATCTCCTAATTTTCCTTTCAATTTGAAACAGAACTATTCCCTCAAAACAAAAGCATGACCTCTACCATCAACAGAAACACTCACCATAGAAATGACGGTGGGAGGAAGCTGTTTGGGGTCTCCTACTAGGATAAGTTTGTTGCAGCGGTGGATAAGTGGAGTAAGTGTTTCAACTTCACAAGACTGCCCAGCCTTGGCAAGAGAGTACAAAAGGAGAAACAGTCTTAATTAAGTTCTAATACCCATAAAAGTACAAACTCCTCCATTAGTACAGCTAAACCTTTTTTAAAATTATGTAGGATCTCATACATACTGGGCAAGTGCTTTACTATTGAGTTATATCCAATCTCCTCTACACCCTCTACACCAGGTATAAAAAATAAGCATTTTAAAAAAAAACTTTTCGGGGCTGGAGAGATGGCTCAGCAGTTAAAAGCATTGCCTGCTCTTCCAAAGGTCCTGAGTTCAATTCCCAGCAACCACATGGTGGCTTACAGCCATCTGTAATGAGATCTGGTGCCCTCTTCTGGCCTGCAGACATACATGGAGGCAGACTGTTGTACACATAATAAAAAAAAACTTTTCAAGGTATATTATACTTCATATATCTTTATGTAAGACATCTTACCATATACAATGAGGATATAGAAATGAAAACAGATACATATAAAAGGTATCATTATAAGCCGGGCGGTGGTGGCACACACCTTTAATCCCAGCACTCGGGAGTCAGAGGCAGGTGGATCTTTGTGAGTTTGAGGCCAGTCTGGTCTACAAGAGCTAGTTCCAGGACAGGCTCCAAAGCTACAGAGAAACCCTGTCTTGAAAAACCAAAAAAAAAAAAACCCCAAAAAACAAAAAAAGATATCATTATAAAACAAAAATTATCTAATCCCAGTTTTGAAACAATCTAACAAGTATTTTGAACTCAACTATCATGGATACCTTAACTGTGGAGCTAGCTACCAGCAAGAATGCTGTGTACATCCCAAGTTCATGCTGCATTCCCGCTGAGCTAGAGTCTAGGAAGAGCTGTTTTACGTTATCTCTGAAATTCAGATATTACTTAACACATGACTATCTTTTTCCATCTTTCTAATTCAATAAATTTGCCTTCGATTATTTCATCATTTTCATTTTTTCTTTTTCATTTTCTCACACATAATTAACATATCTATAGCAAGGTATGGGAACTCCTAGACTGATTCTCTGTATCTAATGATCTAGTTCTTCTGTCTTCTGACTTTTCAATCTTGCCTATAACAGTAAGTACCCAATCAAAGCTCAACAAATGGACAAGAAATAAAATATATCAGCTGAAATTTGCGGCAGCCAAAGCTGTACAAAATCATAAATATTTCAAAGTTAGCAGAGAAACTGCAGCAGTTCAACAGGATAGTGCTGGAGACAATCCCTCCCAGAAGATGTGACTCCTCCTTTTGGAGCAGACTGTCAGCACCATGTTTCACTGTATAAGAACATGTGCACATCAGCTAAGAGTTGGGGGAGTAGAGTCTTCTAACTTGCAATGCTGATGGTTCACTCTCTAGCACAGTGGCAGAGTAGTGACCACTTGATAAAAACCTGCTCTTTGTCCACACTTCAGCACTCACAATTCACCCAGAATGTTTCTTCACAGTACTAGTCACACTCACATGCTTGAGAGCCACTGACCTCATCAACAATGACACAACTAAAGGGGACACCCCCTTGCCCTCGAAAAGCAGACTCAAGCAGCAAACCACCACTTGTGCTCAATGTGCAGCAGATGACATGAGACTCCAAGATGATCGTATTCTGTGTTTTCTGTGGACGTCCCTGAACCTAGGACAATAAAGGATAATCATATTTAGTTACATACAAATCCTGCAGGTCCTACTTTTACTATTAAATATCTACCTTTTTCTTCATGTGACATAAAAATATTCAATAAAAAGGGAAGCCTCGGCTCTAAAAAACAGGAGCAATCCCTCTGCACAAATTCACTGTAGACTTCAAGGCAATGGATGTTGAATTTTAGGAGAGGTGGCAATCTGGATTCAGTGCTAAAGCATTTGCCAGATTCTCTTCTCTTAGCCATCACATAGTCAGTCTTCCCCCAAACATACTTAAATCTAATGGTCTAAAGAAGACATGTGATAAGAAAATTAAAGCTTACGATACCCATGAACAAGGCACTTTACCCGTAAGTGTGAAATACTAATTTAGAGCTCATTTACACTGTTAAGGAAAATTCAACTGTTTATCTGGTCAAAAAGAAAAAAACATATCCTTAAGATGTGGAATGTCCTTCTGTATATGTGGTACATTTATTGGTAGATGAATAAAGTTGTTTTGGCCAATGGCTAAGCAGAGCAAAGACAGGTGAGAAAGCTGAACAGAGATATATTAAGAGAGAGAGAGTAGGCAGAGTTGAAGAGTCGCCACGTAGCCACCAAATGAGAAAGGTGCCAGAAAATTACTGGTAAACCGCAGCCTCGTGGTAATACAGAGATTAACAGAAATGAGTTAATTTAAGATGTAAGAGCTAGCTAGGAATACATCTGAGTCACTGGCCAGTGTTGAAGCTAATAGTTTCTGTGTGACTATTTGGGTCTGAGCAGCCAGGAAACAAAAGAACAGTCTCTGTCTACAAATGGCGTACAAATGTTTGGCAAGGATTTCCACATAAAGCCTAAGAAAAATTCAAAATTAAAAGGATTCTAAACAGACAAGAACAGAGTTAAGCACAGCTTTCTGGTAACCATCTTTTACAGGGTAGGCTCTGTTTGTTGTCTTTGAGCAGAGGTGCAGTTCCTTTAAATAAGGCTTCCTAACTCAGCATTAGCAGAAAAAAACCTCATAGCTCTTTTAAGAGGCTCTGCCACCAAACACTTAAATGGTGTTTATAAGCAGCCAAAATCGGGCTTCTTTGTGGTAGAATGAACATAGAAACTCCATAGAGTAGTGAAAATAAATATGGTTCCCACCAGTACCTCTGCCATGAAGCTAGACTCTCAAAAACCTAAGGAATAGGGTGGAGCCAGTTGCCAAAACTGCAGCTTTAATCTTAGCCATACTGCTTAACAGATAAAAGATTTGTATGGTCAGAAAAAGAAATATGCAGTAAAGACAGATTCAGATCAAAAAAAAAAAACCTCTATAAACGTTTACAGCATGTTTAAAAATATATGTAAGTGTGGGAGAGAAAAGAAAAGAAAAGTCCTTAAAACGAAATAATGGCCAGGAAGCAGTGGCAAACTACAGTCCCAGCATTCAGGAGGCAGAGGTAGGTGATCTCTGTTGAGTTCAAGGCCAGCCTGGACTACAAGAGCTAGTTCCAGGACAGCTAGGACTGTTATACAGAGAAATCCTGTCTTCAAAAACCAAAAACCAAAAACCAAAAAAACAAAAAAACAAAAAAACCAAAAACCAAAAAACAGAAAGAGAGAGAGACAGAGAAGAAATATAATAAGTCACATAAATATGGAAAATACACAGAGAATCTGAATTATTTATATTGTGTTATCATTCGATTTTTTTTGACTGTTAATGAGCAAATAGCTGCTGAGAACGTCTGATTAGGAAAGCAGTTAGATTATACTTTCCTATATATTTTTAAAATATCTTGACTTCAAAATTTAAGACAAAAAAATATGTTACTTTGAGAAAGAGATTCTGCTTTTTCTCCACATGAAATGAGAGGCTATGGATTAATTCTGGGTTAAGAAAAATAAGGTTTGATTAAGGAAGACCCCCCTGAAAAATCTCCAATATAAGCAGATGTCCCTGATGATTCACCGTCTCTGTTGCAGTTTTCTCTGAGTTCTACATCCAGAACAGCTAGAAGGCAAACTGGTCAAGGTGATCTGTCCATACAGAATACTCCAGTCAGGACCTGACCATAATCCTAAATTTTTTCAGGGTCCCCCAAAGATTACCAGTGCCCCCAATCAGCATGAAGTAGCCTAGAAAACTATACCCACATTCCCCCAAAAATGGATTATGATATTTATCATTGTTTAAGGAGTTTCGGCACAAATTGTTATTGGTCATTAAAAAAAAAAAGGCTAAACAAAAGCTGGGCAGTAGTGGCATGTCTTTAATCCCATCACTTGGGAGGCAAAGGCAAGCTGATCTCAGAGTTCGAGGCCAACCTGGTCTACAAGAGCTAGTTCCAGGACAGGCTCCAGAGCCACAAAGAAACCCTGTCTCAAAATAAATAAAGGAATAAATGAATAAATAAATAAATGGAAAAAAGGGGGGACAGGATATAGAAATGATAAGATAAAAAGATTACTAAATCTACTTTAATAAAAAACCTATTAATCTCAGGATACTTTACATTAGTATGGATTTTAGTTTATTAATATAAATTTAAGGTACATATTGTTATGCTGTATGTATATTTCTACTCTTGTTTAGGGTATTATGTTTATGTAGTTCATTTTAAAATGCAATATATAATTAAGAAATACACATTAATAGTCATCTATAATAACAAAATTAGCCATGTTAGGTATGTTTTCAAAGTCATACAGAGATACATTTCTGATAGATGAGAAATGTTCAAACACTTCAAAAACCTAGAGAATAAAGCATTTAAAATGTTTTAAGAACTTAGACTTTTCTTGACAGTGAGACATGTCTACTCCTGGCAGCAATTACTTCAAAGAGGATGATGGACATCAAAGAAACTTCATATGGAGTTTGCTTTCTTTATGGCAAAAACTAGCTATGTGAGCAAAGAAACGGCCCTTGCCTCAATTGCTGACAGTTACTGTCCAAACTGGACCAGCAGGAAATACGAAAGGCAACTGATGAACTTTCCAAAGACAAGGTAGGGCAGTCGTTCAAATTTCTTGCTTCAGTGAAAAGTCTGCCAGATACTATGCACCTATAGGCTGAAGATGGATGCCCCAATGTTACAAAAGAATTTGGGTGACTGTTAGGCAGTAAGATGACTCTGCCACTTCTAGAACTTTGGAAGTTGCTTACAATACACTTATTGTTTACTTGGGTAATATTATAACCTTCCGGGGTCTTTGATGGAGTTGAAGACTAGATGGCTATAATTACAGTTTTCCTTAGTTATGATAAAAGATAAATTAGAGATAAAACTTAAGACTCACAAAAATAGGACAGATAAGAATATTTTCCTCAATTTGCCAAATGTAAATGGACTAAAGATTGTAACTATAATTCTTGCTTGATAACAGTTTTGTATTTGTAATTTTAATATGTTAAAGTTAAAACCTTCCCTTTTAATTAGACAGAAAAGAGAAGATGATGTGGAATGTCCTTCTATACATGTGTTGCTTTTATTGGTAGATGAATAAAGCTGTTTCAGCCAATGGCTAAGCAGAGTAAAGCCAGGCAGAAATCCCGAGAGATATAGAAAGAATAGAAGAAGGAGTCAAAGAGATACCATGTAGCCACCAAAGGAGAAAGGTGCCAGAATATTACCAGTAAGCCACAGCCTCACGGCGATTAATAGAAACATAGATTAAAAGAAACAGGCTAATTTAAGATGTAAGAGCTAGCTAGGAATACACCCGAGCCATTAGCCAGTTTCTGTGTGATTATTTGGGTCTGGGTGGCCAGGAAACAAAAGTGCAGTCTCTGTCTACACCCTTAAAGTGTCCTATTGAAACTGATTTCTTTAGAGCTGCATTCTGATTGTCCAGACACAAATCTGACTCAGCCTACCTTCAATTAGTCTAATAAGAATCTGACAGTCAGCAGTGGTAGTTTTTATAGTCCCAGTACTTGGGAGGCAGAGGCAGGTGGATCTCTATGTGAGTTTGAAGTCAGCCTGCCTGGTCTACAAAACAAGTTACAGGACAATCAGGGCTACACCGAGAAAATCTGTCTCAAAAAACAACAACAAACAAACAAAAAAACCAAATACAAACCCAAACAAACCTCAGCCCTTGTATCCTCTAAACTGTTTCATTAAAAAAATAAAACACTGCAGGTAAATTACCTCTTTAATTTTTGAAGCAAGTTCCTGCCTTTCTTTTGAAACTTTGACAATGTGTCCATCTAATTCTTGCCTCTGAAAACAAATTAGAACGTTACCATGAAAACCAGGCACTTAAGCAGACAACAATTCACAACGCATGAATTCACTAAAACAGAGTGCTCTCTTCTCTACCAGTCAACTCTTAACACTTTTCTGTACAGTTAAGAGACAGAGTTATGTCTCTCGTGCTCCATGATTGCTGTCTGCCTAGTATCTCCAACTCTGGAGCATCATTCATGTCTAAGGCACTTCACACACTCAACAATCCTACCACAGTGATGAATACATAATACAGGCATGGGAAATCATAGTACCCTTCCTTTAAATAAAAGCAGGGATTAGATTTGCTTGGCAATCAGAGACTAATCAAAGTATATTCTTAAACAGACACATGACATTTTAAGTTGGTGTGGTGGTACCCAGAAATTCTGGCATTTGTCCTCTTGTGGAAAAGAAATGGCTGACATACAGAGAAAAGAAAATCAAAAAGTGGAAAAAAATGTTAACAGGTAAAGTTCTTGATCCAACCATACTGAAAGCTAAGCAACCCTTGACTTCAAGTATATGCGCCATCAAATTCTTTTTTCTCAACCTAATTAGAAATGTTGGTTATTTTTATTTATGTGCACAGTTATTTTGCCTGCATGTATGTTTGTAACACGAGCATGCCAATAGTCTGAGGAAACAAAGAAGGCATCAGGTCATCTGGAACTGGAATTACAGTTGATTTTGAGTTGCCATGTGGGTGCTGGGAATCAAACCTGGGTCCCCTGGAAAAGCAATCAGTGCTCTTAATCATTGAGCCATCTCTCCGGTCCCTAGGTTTAACTCACCAACTGAAGAGTGCCTAGTAACTACAATAAATCATCGACTTTTGTAAATAAATCTTCACTGTGAAACAAATTGCATCTGGTTGTTTACACTGATCTGATGAGGTTTTAGAGCCACAATCAAGCTGAGAAGCTGTCAGACACTTTGTTGTCTATAAGACACACAGTATTTACTTCACAAAAGAGCTTGCTAACCTTGACATTAGGCATACTACTTCAGTACAGTTCTTGGACTCACGCCATATTTCAGTAAGAACACCATCACACACCCATTGTCTAGCTCAAGTCTAAGCCACTTCTGCAAGGCCCAAGTGAGGAAATATCCATACCTGCATCTCCCGCCCACCTCGACACAGAGCTCGCTGACGAGAAAGTTCATCGAGTCGACCATCTAGAAACTCTTTTCTTCTCAGCATTTCTTGAATATGAGAAGGCAGGTCTTTTTCTAAATTTTAAAATCACATGTTAATTTTAACAAATTCACAAATACAATAAGAAGGAAAACTCCTTCTCAAAGTTAGATTAGTTCTGGGATCTCCAAAATACCACTATTGCCCCCTAACCTTTCCTTTGCCGTACAAAAGGAAGTGGAACACCAATGAACAAGACAGTACTTACTCATTCTGTGGTTGACTTGGCTGTCCAAACTAAATTTTAGGACCTCCGTATTAATAGACTTTTCTGGACCCAGTCGTACTAAATTTATATCTCCACAATTTCCTGTTGATAAAAACAAAATTTAACCAGGTCGTGATGACACACACCTTTAATCCCAGCACTTGGGAGGCAGAGGCAGGCAGATCTCTGAGTTCAAAGTCAGATTGTTCTACAGAGAGTTCCAGGACAACAAGAGTGTGGGGAGGGCGGAGCAAAATTATTCTTAAGGACACTGCTAATAAATCCCATCTCCATATTAATCAGAGAAGGGGAGCACAAACTATAACTGCATGTCAGGAGCTATACTAAAGACCTGTCACACATTCTTTCAGATATTCTGGATAATAATGCTATACGGTACTTACCACTTCAGTCAATACAAGCTAGGAAGGTCACATGGATATTACATGCAGAATTCACACTGTTATGCTGATGTTTCTCAAATTACTCTCTATAAGTGTTCCATGAAGAACACTTGAGGAATGAAAAATTCAGATACTGGGATTAAAGGTACCACCACACTTAGCTCAAAGTTTTCTTAACCATTTATATTACTATGTATTTTAATTCAAATAAGAACCTTACTTGGTAATATCTCCACCCACCACCTGCCCCAAACACTCAGAATCAAGGTGTTTGTTGTTGAGACAAAGTCTTGTATATAGTCCCGGAAGGCCTGGAACTATGTAGACCAAACTGGCCTTGAACTTCTAGCAATCCTCCTGCCTGTACATCCCAAGTCTGGGTTATAGGCATGAGAACTACACTTGGCCCAAATTTTCAAACTACAAATATATGGTGAAGAAATGGCACTTTTTATACAGTTACCTATAATACAAGTTTTTAAAGAATCATATAGTTCAGTTCTCTCACCTAAATGTGAGAGTACATCTTCTCTAACCAACATCTACTCGAAGGTTTCAAAATTGCCAGATTCACTGTGTATCGACCAGAAAAATGCAAGAGATTTGGAATTCATAATAAATATCCAGAAATGTTCTACACATTAAAATGGACATCATTTACACCGTGGAATGAACTTGTAAAAATTAGAGAAATTCCTAAAAACCAAAAGCAGAGCTGAAAACCAACCTAGGAAGCAGTAGCTTCCCTGGGTGCTAAAGAGGGTTGACTTTGCTCTTTATCACCATTAAAGTATAATTTACATTTAGTAAAATATAAGATTAAAAATCCTTATTTCGCCGGGTGGTGGTGGAGCACGCCTTTAATACCAGCACTCGGGAGGCAGAAGCAGGTGTATCTCTGAGTTTGAGGTCATCCTGGTCTACAAGAGCTAGTTCCAGGACAGGTTCCAAAGCTACAGAGAAACCCTGTCTAGAAAAACAAAAAAACAAACAAGCAAGCAAACAAAAACAAAACAAAAACCCTTACTTCTAGCTGGACAGTAGTGGTACACGCCTTTAATCCCAGCACTTGGGAAGCAAAGGCAGGTGAATCTCTGAATTCGAGGTCAGTTTGGTCTATAAAGCAAGTTCAGGACAGGCTCTTCCCTTGGAAAATATGAATTAGCAAAGCTCACTTAAAGCTGAGAAGCTGAGTGAACCAGACCCTTGAAAACATTTAACAATTTATGAAAACTTTATTATCAACAAACAAAATGAATATATAACAAAATGAATCAACACCAAAAATAAACCAAGATAATTAACAAACTGTATAAAATAATCTGCCTTATGACAAAAAAAGGAATTATGGGTTGGTTGTTCTCATTTATGAGCACAAACTTCAAAGTTCTAAAAACAATACATCAACAATCAAGCATTGTATCACAGAATAATGACATTTACAAGCTGATACCATTATAATTTACCAAAGGCACAGGGAGAAAAAAAAAGGCTCTATCATATCAACAAGATATAAAAGCAGAAATTGATAGTTTACTATTCGCTGATAAAACTTTAGGCTGTTAATTTCTAACTTTCCCACAGCAACTAACCTGTACTTGAACAGACGTCAGCGCAGGCATCTACTGTGGGCAAACAGTCTTCCCACGTGCTACTCCACCGATTAAAAAGCACACCAAGCACAGCATTGGCAGCCATGCCTCTTGGCTACACATGCAGCTCTCTTGGACAGTGCTATTCAACTATAGCTTGAGAGCCAGTCAGTGGATGACAGGGTCAGCTAGAGTACCAGAATTGATGTTACTTCAGTTAGAACAGAAGGACAGAAGGATGGTGTCTACCCTCACAACCATTAACAAATACATGGCAAAAATGAAAGAATTTGGCTTTAAACAGACAATGTATTAACTTCTAAAAGAAATAAACCCTGTATTAGGTACACATATGCAAAGAAAGGACAAACGTCATCTCGCAGAATACAGACATGCCCATGTAATTTGCAGTGAAAGGGAGTACACAGAGATGGATATTATAGCATCTAGGAACACTCCTGAACAGACAGCTCATTTGTTTCCTTTGTCATTTCACATTTCCTCATTCTTGGGGATTGTAGGTGCAGCAGCTATCCCTCACCAAGAGGTACACTAACAAATGGGGGTCACAACACAGTAAGGCACCAGGACAGAGGAATACGGTTCACTGCAGACTCTGCATAGCAGGAACTAGTGCCCATACTAATCAGTCCCCTAAGCTTTTTGAACTGGAACCAAGTGTCTATCATGCTTAAGCTAGCCCATGTGCAATTTCTGTTACTTGCAACTGACTTGAACGTAACTGATAAAAGGCAATGTCAGATATTAAGGAAAATAAAGATGAAAAGAAAAAACAAAAGCAAGAGTATCATACCCAAAGGATTCTTCTTGTCTTTACATTTTTCTTTGAATTCAAGGATAATTTTTTTCATAAGTTCATCAACAGCTGCATTGGATGGTGCACACACGAGGACCCGGTTTTGCTTGATTTTGGCATTGAAGTTTTCATCTGAATGGCCCTTTCTCTGGTTCTACAATTTGTCACACAGCAGACAAACAACAATGAGCTCTAGTCTTGGGAATCAAATCTTTGCTTGCAAATTCTCCCAATGGTTAAAATAAAGCATCTATTCCTCCCACAGTATGGAAGGTGCTGTGGTATGGGATGCAGGGGCACACTGCACAGCACTTATGAGGACATCCAAGACCCTGGACTTCAATCCCAGTACCAGAGAAACAAACAAAAGCAAGCTGAAGCCAGGCAGTGGTGGCGCACGCCTTTAATCCAGCACTCAGGAGGCAGAGGCAGGAGGATCTCTGTGAGTTTGAGGCCAGCCTGGCCTACAAGAGGTAGTTCCAAAAGAGTCAGAGATGTTGTACAGAGAAACCATGTCAAGAAGAAACAAAAAACAAGACTTCTCTGGCATAAAATTTATCAAAACTGTTTGGATGCTCTATGCTTTACTTTTATTTTTTCACCATTATATAATAGTCAGTCCAACCAACATTTAGCTCAGCAGTAAAAGAGCACCGACTGCTCTTCCAGAGGTTTCAGGTTCAATTCCCAGCACCCAAATCATGGCCCACAAGTTCCAGAAGAATCAGCTATCTTCTGATCTCTGTAAGCACTGCATACATGCTATATAGACACACATATGGGCAAAACACACATACACACAAAGTTAAAAACAGTAATAATAATAAAGCTTTTCAAATACACAAATAAAAGAGAAGGGTACTTTAATACTCACATGCCTCTTAATTCAGGTCAAGCCAAGTACAGGCTAACAGTGTCACACCTACCTCTGTCAATAAGCGGTACAAGAGACCAACAATGGTTTTTGATTTTCCTGTTCCAGGTGGTCCATGAATCAAACAGATTTTGGCAACAGATGGTGAGTGTTTCACCATTGCATATGCAGTTTCTATGGCTTTCTTTTGATCTTCATTGAAGTCTTTTAGGTAGGTAATCTATAGAGAAGATGTGTAGTGAGTTCTTTCTGTGATGACACATGGGAGAAGTAATGAACAGCATTCATTCAACTTTCTTCCTCTATGGCAAACAAAACAAGCGTCTAACTGACCTAAGAACCACTTTCACAACTAGAGGAAATCTAATCAGTTATTAATTACTAATTAACATCTACAGGCTTCAGCCCACTTATACAAATATGACAATAAATTTATTTACATAAGCTTTTCTTTTGGAATTACTCTGATTGCTTCCCTTTAATTTTCTGCTTAGACGGTGAAGGATTCTAGGACTATTTCTTTCCTAATACAATGTCACATACTGAAAAAATAGTTTTCATAGCCAAACAACGTTGAAGCTTCAGTTTTACTTTCAATTTGGATAGCCATACTCCTGACCTCTTTGACTCATTAAACTAAGACTTCTAAGGTGCAAAATGATTGGATAATGATCACAAAAGCCTAAGTATGCAACATATACAAGTAGCATATAAAATATGAGGGTTTAGAAATACTTGTTTCCCTTTATATGTCCTTTCTCATTTTCTAAACTATATATATAATTTTTACAGTGAAAACTTCAGGTTCATCCCTTCATTTACAACAACCCCATGGTTCTCCACCAATATTCAAATGCAAAATTCCCGCCACAAAACCTGTGAACAATTGCTGAACGGTGCACACCCAGTAAACACTGAAGCAGATGCTAAAGAACAGTTGAATGGTGCTTTTTTTTTCTTTTCTTGGTTTTTTGGAGACGGGTTTCTCTGTGTAGCCCTGTCTTGAAACTTGCTCTGTTGGCCAGGCTGTCCTCGAACTCAGAGATCTACCTGCTTCTGTCTCCTGTGTGCTGAGATTAAAGGCATTTGCCACCACCAACTGGCAGAATGGTGCTCTTTCGACACACCCTCTTTACTGTCTTATACTTAGCCAGACATAAGCTAACCCACTTGTACACCTTGCAAAACTGAAGGGAACTAAACACCACTGTGCACAAGCATACAGGACCATTCAACAGCTAAAAGTATCCTGTTAAGTCTCCTCCCTTCCCCTAGCGCCATTCAAATAAGCACTCACAATTCTTTCAGATGTTGTAGTTAATAGGTCTTTGGTACAGAAGTCCATGGGGTTTGGATTTAGAACAGCTCTGGCCAACTGGTTCCGACCGCTCAACAAAGACATGGCTTTCAATTTCCTCTGTGTAGTTACTAGAGAACTGATTACAAGACATTTTGTAAGTTCATGTAGTTTGGCTGCCAAGTTATTTTGTGTCTGGATGCACAAGGAACACTCAGTTTTTCCACTGCTCACTATAATCAAAGAGGAGAAAAGCCGGTGAGAAAAGGTTAGTCACATGTGTTTAAAACTTATATTTTATATGATGTACTTAAATAAGCCACTTATACTTGTTAAACGTAAAATTATTCTCATTTATTTTATGTAGGAGTTGGTCTTGGGTTTTGGGAGTGAGTTTTACATTTGAACAGTTGATAGAGAACTGTATGGGATTGTTGCAAATGAAATGAACTTGTAGTTTTTTACTTTAAAAAAAAACACAAATAAAACAATATTCCTGTCCTTCAAAGAAAAATGTCAAATAAACATGTCAGACAGTAGTGAGTGCTTATGGAGAAGCAGAGACGGGATGAGGAAGAAATGGGGTACAGAGGTGACAAGCTGGCCAGTGTCTTCCTAACAAAATGATGCTGAGCAGAGACGTGAAATAAGGATTTTGGAAGCTTTATTCCTTTGAGGAAAAGAGAGCTACAAGCAAAGACTCACCAAGCACAGAGAACAGGAGGTAGAACTGTGCTGGGAGTAACTCAGATATAGGGAGGCAGAGCCAGTACAGCTGGAAGGAAAAGTAGGAAGGCATGTATTACAAGATAAAGAGCAAAATGGAGTGTATTTTTATAGAGTTCTGGGTAACACAATAATGACTCAGAATGCTATTCACTTAGGTAGAAAGACATATATTGTCTCTGTATAGGTAACAGGCTCTGTCTCATCCATTAAAAAATATTAACGTTCCAACTGTGTGTGGTAGTACATGACTTTAATCCCAGCCCTTGAGTAAAGAGGATCTCTGTAAGTTTGAGCCTAGCCTGGTTGGCAAAGGTTTTTCCACAGAGAAATGCTATTTTGAGAAACTGAAATTAGGAAAAAAAAATTCACTTCTTACTGCAAACCAAGAATTAAGAGCTAGATACTGGGTGTAGTGATGCACACCTTTAATCCCAGCACTTGGGAGATAAGGCAGGCAGATCTGAGTTCCAGGACAGCCAGGGGCTACATTGAGAAACCCTGCCTCAAAAAAATCAAACCGAAACAAAAACAATAAAGTGCTATGGGAAAAGAGACAGATGTGATGATTGCTGGATGTAGGGTAAAATGGACATAATCAGTCAACCTGCAATGAACAAGTGGTTGTGAAAGACACAAAGGACCAGAAACGAACAAAGAGATTTAAACTATAGCTTTTCAAATACAGAGGTTCAACAGTTTTGAACTAAAAGGATTTCAGGAAAAGAAATAATTGTAAATTTGATGATTATAAATTTGGCAAATGTTAATCATTTTCAAGAGTTAAAAGCAAAAATTAAGTCACAAAACTCTGCTGAAAATCTTCCACACAAAGAATCAAGGCACTCGGGAGGCAGAGGCAAGGCAAGCAGAACTCTGAGCTCAAGGTCAATCTGATCTACAAAGTGCATTCCAAGACAGCCAGGATTACACAGAGAAACCCTGTCTTGAAAAAACAAAGAATCGAGCTAAACTTGGCATATCAGTTAGAATGCAGCATGGTGGGACAGTCTCAGGAGGATCAATGCAACTTTGAAAACATGATACAATGAGGCTCAAGAATCAGGAAAAAAATCTTTTCTTCATAAAAATAAAAGTGTTTCAGCTGTCAAAAGGGTAGACTGACAAAGATGTGGCCTTCGAAGTAAACCACAACTATGTTTTGAACCATGTTATACAACCTACAGCAGCAGTTTCTTATGAGGCTGAAGCAGGAGGATTACTTTAACCTAAGAGCTCAAAAACAGCTGGGACAATATAGAGAGGCATACTTTAAAAAAAAAAAGCTTCAATTCTGAATTGCAAATTAGTGTTAGGAAACAATCGTGGCTACATAATACTTCTGAACCATAGCTTCCATTAGTAACAAGGAATAATTCTGACCACCTTTGAAGAACACTACAAATGTGAAGAAAAATAAAACACTCTGCTTGGAAGATGTTTTAAAATAAAGCTATGAGGGAAAAATCCCTACAAAGCAATGAAAGTGATGGACAGTAAATTTCCAAGCTCAAGCTACCTTGTAATAAATTGTTTGTTCTAAATAGCAATTACTCAGAAAACTAAGGTTGGAATGTGACTTATTAAACAGATGACTTGATATGTAAAAATGATAGATGGAAGAATGCATCAGAAGAGAACAAAGCTTGAGGCTGCAGAGATGGCTCAATGGTTAAGAGCATATACTGCTCTTCCAGAGAACCTGAGTTGGTTTTTTAAGCACCCATGCTGGGCAGCTCATAACTGCCTATAACTCCAGCTCCAAGGGAAGCCAGCATGTCTAGCCTCAGCAGTCACCTCCACTCATGTGCACATACCTACATACACATAATTCAAGTTTTTAAATAGTAAGCAGTAAACAAGGATCTTAAGTAAAAAAAAAAATCTAAATGGCAAGTGATCAACCTGGAATATAACAAATATAACAAAATACAGGGCTAAGGAAGCACAGTGTACAGAAAATGAGACAATCTCCTTGTTGACACCTCATTTACTTACTGACTGAAGTACGACGAAACTTATGAACATAACCACAGTAATAGGCATTTCGATCTTGCATGTCATTCTCGTCCATATCTTTCTCCTCTCTATTTAGACTCTCAGGAACCAAAAACACCAGATCATTTTCCTTTGGATGAAGCTGTTTAGCTAGTTCAGATTCCTCCAGGTAAACTATGAAACAAAAATTAGCATTTATGCAACTCTTAACAGATTTCAAGATCAACTTATATTAAATCTTTGTACTAAGTTCCAAAGTACAAGTGGATTAAAGTCCTGATGGATTCTGTTTATTAAAAGGGCGATATAAGCCAATAAAAATGTAAAAATACTGAGTGCAAATCATAACAGTAGCAGTTGTGGTAGCCTATACATGACCTGCAAAAGATCAAGCCAATTCAGAACTCCAGCAATGAAAGCAGACGGACTCCATAGGTCCCACCACAAGCTGAGCTGTTACTGGCAGATGATAGCTGCTAAGGGAGGAAAGGTCACTTTTCTTTAGAAGAATGAACACTGGTAAGATTCCAGAGACTCTAGTGGATGGCCCCACATCCAGGCACAGAAAGGTCACATCAACTGGGCTCAGAGGGCTTTAAAAAAACCAAACAAACAAACAAACAAAAAAACAGTTGTGTGGTGGTGGGGCATGTCTTTAAACTCCAGGCAGAAACAGGCAGAGCTAGTTCAAGGCTAGCTCATCTTTAGAGTTTCAGGTCAACCAGAACACAGAGAAACTCTGTCCAGAAAAAAGAAAGAGAGAGAGAGAGAGAGAGAAACATAGAAAGAGAGAAAGAAAGGAAGGTAATTAAAAATTATAAAAAGAGCCAGGTAGGTGTGGCGCACATCTTTAATCCCAGCACTTGGGAAGCAGAGGCAGGCAGATCTCTATGAGTTTTAGGCCAACCTGGTTCAATAGTACCTGCTTTTAACCACTGAGCCACCGCTCCTGTCCCAAACGGGAATCTTTAAAAAGATTGTTTTATTTATCTGTGTGTCAATGTACACACAATTGGAGGGTGGGATGAATGTCAGAGGAAAGCTTGGAGGGGGGTCCTTTCTCTCCTTCTCCCATGATCTCAAACTCAAACCATTCTTGGCAGCACGGGGCCTCATCCACTGAGCTATCCCACCAGCCTTGAACTTGCAATTTTATATATAAAAAATTCTCATGATCTCAAAAGTGAAAAGAAACCAAATCACTAAATACCTTTCTAGGTATTAGATAACATCAGAAATAGATCCAGCATGCTAACAAATGTTTCACTGAAAAACATTCACTTTCAGACACTTCAGAGGCAAAGCTAATTTAAATTAAAGACGACAGAGGAACTCCCCCATCTCATCCATCTAGATAGGGTTTCTCTTTGTAACCCTAGCTGTCCTGGAACTAGCTTTGTAGACCAGGCTGGCCTCAAATTCAACCTGCTTCTGCTTCCCAAGTGCTGGGATTAAAGGTGTCTGCCACTACACCTGGCCAAGACAGAAGAACTTAAAATCATTTATGGCATTTCAAACAAGGGAGAAATGATAGTTGTAAATGAGTGTGGAGGCAGAGGCAGGTGAACCCCTGAGTTTAAGGCCAACTTAGTCTACACACACACACACACACACACACACACACACACACACACACACACACACGGAAAATACTGAAATAAACCTAGCCATATTTGGGTTGTGAAAACTATCATGAACAAGAAATTTCAAATATGTGTTAGAAGTATAGCTCAGTGGTAGAAAGCAAAGGTCCTGGGTTCTAATCCCAGACCACAAAACAAAGAAAACTAAAAGCAAAAACAAAAACAGGAAAGAAAGAAAAGCTCACTAGAGAGGTTGTTGATTACAGATGGAAAACAGTGACTTCACAGGAGATACTCAGCAACCAAGGCATCAGAATCAATCTTCAGCAAGAAAAGTCATCCTCCTGCTCTTTTTTTAATCAAACCTCAAGTCTAAGGCAACATCTGAGAAACAAAGGGAGTGTTCTACAAACTAAGGGAACAATATTTTTTAGGCATCAAAGACACACAGTAAGACAGGCTAAGGAATTAGCTATTCTAGAACACTGAACACTCAGAAGACAGTAGATGTTTGAACTCTAAATCCCAGGACAGAAAACAGACATTAGTGGAACTAAGCTATGGTATGAATGAGGTCTCATACTCAGTATTATAGCAATACTAATCCCTGGTTTCATATCCATATATGCAAGATGTTAACATGTAAAAAGGTTTGCTGAGCCGGGCGATGGTGGTGTACTAATCAATCCTAGCACTCGGGAGGCAGAGGCAGGCAGATCTCTGTGAGTTTAATGCCAGCCTAGACTACAAAAGTTCCAGGACAGGATCCAAAGCTACAGAGAAACCCAGTCTCGAAAACAAACAAACAAACAAACAAACAAACAGGTTTGCTGAAAATTGTATGTGGACTCTTAAGTTTTACATCTCTTTGAACTCTAAAGTTGTATAAAAAAGTCAGTTCTTCTAATTCAAATGCCAAGGTTTATCACCTTACACCACTCTATTAATCCTCCTCTCATGAAAGCCATTTCCTAACAATATCAACATACTCCTATGTTTGCTCTACTCACAACACACAAGAGTTCAAGAACTACTAAGCCAGTTTTACCATAAATGTAGCAGGATCTTGGTAAATTATATTGTGTATTTGGTGCAGAAGAAACGTCACATATTTCTATTGTTATTTTACTTTTATTATTCCTCTTTGTTGATTTAATAGTACAAAAAGTGCTACGTGTAGGGACATGCACCTTAAATCTCAGCACTCAGGAGGCAGAGGCAAGCAGATCTTTGTGAATTTGAGGTGAGCCTGGTTGACTAATGAGTTCTAGGCCAGTCAGGGTGATAAAGCAAGACCCTATCTCAAAAAAAAAAAAAAAGAAAGAAAAAAGAAAAGAAAAAAAAATCATTTGTTCATTTGTCTATGAAATGTTCGCTTTTTAGCTATTCATAGTCTACGTATCATGTACATATGCACTAAAATAAAATGCCTGTTTGACTGAACTGAGCACTTCTTTTTATCTCAAATAATACTTTCTGTCTTACTGTCTCATCGTAATCAAGCTAAATGAGATAATTTACATGGCTATCTTCATCTGATCACTGGCTGCTGCCAGTCTGTCTACAGTACTGCTGGGGGCTGTAAGAGCTTGTCCCACTGGGTTACCTTACCAGTCCCTGACAGCTCTTCTCAAGCAGAAATTTCCAATGACCATATCATACATTTCAAGTTGCATATGAACTTACTCATAAACTCCCAGTATTTTTTATAGTCGGCTGGAAATTTTCGTAAATGCAAATGATAGAAATTCTCTTTATTTGGAGAGTTGAACCATTCCTGTGCCACCTACATAAAGCAATAAAAGCAAACTAAGAAATAAAGAACATACACCAAAATTTCCCAAACTGACCTACAGGGAAAGTAGAACAGAATCCCAAGTGAAAGTCTAAAAATCAGATTGTGTGGTTTAACGAAATTGTTCAAAACTGTGACCTGTTCAATTTAGTAGCCATTAGCCACATTTGCTTAAATTCGCTAACTGCACTTCTAAAGGCTAAAGCTACTATTCCTCTGTTGAAATAGACTACTTTTCATGGCCAGCAGGCACCGGGGGCCCTGATCCAGTTCACTGTGGAAGTATCTGCTGCTCCTACATCTTGCTGGTAGCACCCATTTCACAATGAGACCTGTATTTGACCTATATTTTCCTCAGTCTCTGGGAATTTGCTCAAGCATTCTTCCTGTCAATTTCTCAATGTCATACCTACCAGTCTTCCAAAGACTCAAATCAAACTCAGAAGTATCTTTGGCGATCGTTAAGTCCAAATTTACAAATGAAAATGCTAGTGTAGAAAGGCTATTTTATACTTTTTTTTTTTTAAAAATAACCTTTGGGACCCTAAGGATTTTGTTTTTATAGTAACATTTTGACTCAGGTGGCAAAATCTGCAACTGGCCTTTAATTCCTCTTATGTAACTGCTCATCAATGACTCCTGGTGCTGAACTGCTCCTGCTCAAAGTTAACCAGTCATTCCTCAGGAGTGACAGCCCTATCTTCATACTATCCCTTCTTTTGACTAAAAATATGCAACAGGAGCTTTCCTGCCATTTCCTGCCATTTCAAGGGGAGGAGTGTACTCAAGAGGCTCTTCCCCGCTCCTGGGAGAGTAAACATTACAACCTAACCAGGTTAAGGCTCAAATCAAAGCCATTTTATCAGCCTCAAGTTATGTCATATATTCTAAAGTGTACCTGTAGCCTTTCCATCTCCACAGTTACTACTGAAACAAAGCCACCATCATTGTCTCCCCAAGATGCTGTAACCAACCTGTAAGTGGTTTGCTAGATCTGTTGTTAGCCTTTCTACCGTTTATTCTCTACCAACAACCAAGGATGTATAAGGAATAAGCTAAATGTGTATTACTCCCTGGTCTAAATACTGACTGACTCAAAGCCCTCCAATACCTTCTCACTGAAATGAGCACATACTCAAACATAAGATGGACTATACGCTCATGAGCATTTCTTTGATTTTTATCTACAAAAGGGGAAGAAGAATTAAAGCATACTTACTGTTTCAAAAGTATTCAATATAATCAAAGGGAGAAAAACATTAAAATACTCTGCACAATCTTGAAATCGGACAGGCACAGGTCTTGAGATAGATTGACAGAGACTTGTTGGGGCGCCACATTTATCAAAGTTCAAAAACATTTGGTATTTCCATTTTAAGACCTCCTTAATGAAGGTGTCAAAGATAGGCTGTGATGGTAAGGAAATATTCACTCGAGAGGAAGCTGACATAGGCTTGTTCTCACTAAGTATAGGCTTGTAACAATGTCTGCTGGAACTGCCTGGAGTCCGAAAATGAGAAATACTGCATAAACTTTTCACCTCAGCCACTGGCTTCTGAGACACCAGGTAAGAGGGTGGTGTCACCTTCAAATTAGGCTGTGCCACACTCGGCTTTTTTAGTGCTGACTGAAGAATGGTACTTTCTAAAGACTTGGAAAAATTGGCAGTTCGTGAAGCACTGCTAAATATCTTGGTAGTAGTAGGTCTCATGAGCCTGGGCCTGGCTACAGAAAGAGGTTTACGAAAAACGTCGTCATCTGCTGGTTTAGCTTCAGAATGTCTTGGGCAGTATTCACTCTGGTTTATCGTGGATTCAACACAGTCTTTGTACTTACACTTTGTGACACTCAAAGACTCCAACTGAGGCTGACTTACAGAATCTTGTTTCTGAACTGTATCTTTATGAGCAACTATAATTGGTTTATTTTCCATCTGTGAGCACAGATCCATATCTAGAGGATCATGTTGTGTTAGGAATAAATTGTCATCATCTGTATCACTACCAGATTCTGGCTCTGTAGCCTTCACAGCTGCCACTTCCTCATCTTGCACTGTGAGAGCATCTTCACCCACAGGGTCCTCCGAAGTAGGGACCACCACATCTGTCGGCACTGCTTCACTTAACACTCTAGACTCACACTGGTTCACAAGACCAGCTATATCAATCACCTGAGGATAGGAAATGGCTTTTGCCACTTCTGGTTTAGAAGGCATGCATTTTGCTAATTGTTTTTCATTACTGTTGGCAGGTGGCTCACTTCCTCTATGATTATCTGGCCCATCAGAGTCTGGGACAAGTACGTCGGAGCCCAGAACCGTGCACAGTCCTGTTCTCACAGTATCGGTATTTTTATAATCAAGGTCTCGTTTTTTATGAAAACTGTGAAATTGAAATTCCTGGCTTGTCAGAAACTTCTTACTTTTGAAGGACTGAATTAATTTAGCCTTTCTGGGAATGTTAACTACTCCAACAGTCTTACCATGGTCACGTAATTGGGATGTATACTCCAAAGACCTCTGAGACAACTCAAATGCCTTCCGGGGAGCTTTTCTTAGACCAAGTTTTTCAGGCGCTGAAGATGGCTGGGGATACTGGCGAACTTTCTTTGGCGGCACAACAGCAAGAGATGTTCTACAGCTGATGTAACATGAACTCTTACTCCGACCTCTTTTGGTGTCTAAATATGTTTTCTTAATCGCCTTAGAAGCTGGAACTTTCCTAACAGGTTTAGAGTGAGTACTAAGTTTTGTAGAAATCAATGAAACTGTAGAATCTCTCTCAACACTTGAACTGAGAGCTGATGTCCCTACGTCTGTGCTTTTTAAATCACTTCCAGCAAAATCTCGGTCATCAGTCGATTGCTCAGTTATGAAGGAAAATGAAGGTTTCTGAGCATCTTCAGTTGTAACTCTCTCACACTGTTTTCTCTTATGTTTTCCTCTAGTTTTACAAAATCCCTCAACAGAAACACTACTGTGTGGTTCTGTATGCTCTTCAATATCCTCTGCTTCATTCCTAACAACCTCTTCAGACACAGAGTCTACACCACAACCCAAATTATCGTTTGTACTATCAGCTACATCAGTTACATAGCTTCTTCCTTCCTCTTGAAGGGAGTTCTTGCTGTCTACTTTATGATCTTGCCAAACTGAGAACACTTCAGAAGAACTTTCAAACTCAAAAACTTGAGATTCAGAGTCCTCAAATTCAACAGGGTATTTTGTTTCTTCTTCCTTTATAAGCTTCTTTTCCACAATGGTATTAACTACTGACCCATGCTGCCCTGGACATTCTTTCTCCATGTATACTTTGTCCTGTTTGATGTGTTTCTCAATGCCATGACTTCTCTCATCATCATCTTCATCAGAATCTGAAATAACAATAATTTGCCCATGGCGGGTATCAGCACTGTTTGGGTTAGCTGTCAAACATCTTATATCATCTTTTCTTTGTAGCTGAGATGGACTTTTACTTGAACCTGATGGAAATTGAATAACAGTGGTTTGAGCTATTAAAGCTATGTTACAAAGGTCTATCTGAGGACCTGTTACCAAAGACTTGCTATTGTCATGAGGTACCTGTCCTTTTGCCATGTTAGAAGTCAGCACTGTATTCTTTCTCATTTTCTTATCTCTTGATTCAACTTCAACCTTTGCAGGACCCTCATATGAAGTATTCTTCACCAGTCTATCAGTAACTGGTAACAAATCAGCAACAGCATGGCATTCCTGGATTTGACACTTTTTCCCATCAGAATTACCTAACTCCTCGCACTTTAACTGTTTCTTTTTTAACAATGAACTCTTTTGAGAATATTGCTCTCCATGTTCATTATCTGAAACAGGGTCTAAAGACACATCACGTGTGATAGTATCTTCCTTTAGAAACCCTCTATCTTTTCCTGAACAGGAGTTCTCAAGGTCAGACAAAGCTGTATTTTCCTCTAGACTAATAGTGTTATTGATCAAAGTACTTTTCCTGTGTTGTTTCTTTATGACATGTGACAACTTTGCACAAATCTCATCCTTCTGTGCTTTAGACTTTGGTTTTGAGTTTTTGCCAACAATTTCATTCTTTAATGAGACATCTTCATTTGATGTAGACACCTTTTCCAAAGAATCCATGCTAGAATCAGTCAATGAATGCATTGATATTATTACTCCTCTGTCACATTCCCATTCTAGGCCATTTCTTAAAGTATTATTCTGTGGTGTATATGAAGAGTTTTCTTTTACAGACTTCTCTGTGCTTACTTTAACTTGCTCTTGAGCACATTCAGAAAAAAGGGCCTCATTCTTCTCCTTCAAGCACCATCCAGCTGGAAGAGGCTTGTCTTCATTCAAATCAATGTAATGCTGCTTGATGCCCCCCTCTTCTGTATTATTTGCTTTAATCAATACTTTATTGCTGTCAGCTTTCTCTGATTCTTTAGAAGATGTGGGGCTGCAATATTCCAGGCAATAAATGTCTTTTTTAGGCTTCCTGTCTGTCTGTTCACTTTCTTCTTTAAAAGATGGAGAAGTTTTACATATAGAAGTCAGATCCCCAAAAGTGCTATACTGGGGCATTTTGAATTTTATGTTTTTAATTATTTGTTTCAAACACATTTGTAAGTCATGGGTTTCTTGAGTAGACAACTGCCAACCCAGAGATAAATTTCCTCGAAGGAATAAGTTAAGTTTATCCCAGAAGCGCTTACAAAGTGTTTGCTGACCAAGCTGATAACCTTCTTTGAGGAGTCCCCTAATCAACTGCACACAAGCAAGCTGGACAGAGTTGGAGGGCACTGAATGTAATGTCAATGGTGATATTATTGCTGCTCCCTTGGGGATATTTCCAGGTAACTTCTCAGAACTTCGTGCAAATGCAGTGGTAGGAAGCTTGGCACACTTTACAACAGCTTCTACCCACTGCTGAGAACTCACCCACAGCAGATGCAAACATTTCTTATTTCTATGCAGTTCAATCACAGATACTAAAATCAGAATAAAAAATTCAGTGACTTTGTCACACACTGCATCTGTCTGGTTGAGAACATCTTTGACTTCAGAGTATAGATGATGAATAACTTCTACAATGTAAGCTACACCCAAATCCTTAAGATCCATGAGTGACTGAACAAAAGGTATGAACCACAGAAAGGTACTGTTATGAACACGCATGTCTTGACCGATATCTGACTGAAGGACACTGGCTAACGTTTCCATTTCTTCATACATGTTAGGACAATAATCTGGACAAATGGCTGATCTCCACCCTGAATCCTAAAATGAAAAAATAATAAACATTCAGATAAGCAAGTATCATGGTAAATATCAACACCCAAACTGTAGAAAAGGAATACACTGCAGCTTTACTCTTCTGGTCTACTATATATGCAACTTGAATTATAAAACTGTTTCAAGAAAACACCATATACTCTAACCTTCCCGTCAGTGGACTGATTATTATTACTACTTCTACCAAAATCTCCTACTGTGGCTAGAGTTCATGTTCCCCATTAAAAGGTCTTTAGGGAATAGTGGATTCACACTACCACATAACAGAGTCAGCACCCAATCACTACACAAAACACTGTCTCTGCAGTGTCACTTCAACTTTTAAAATATTATATACCTTTTTGGTCTTTTCAGGATTATAGTTATAGACAATCTGGCTGCACGTCACCATATCATCAAAATGTGGCTCCGGTTCTGGCTTGGTCCTTAAATATTAGGAATAAATAGAAATTATTGAAAGGAAGGGACTGAAGGAGAGAGAGGAAAAAACTCTCCTTGGTAAATCAGTTACAATGCATTATTTTAAATTCTGACATTTAACCAACCTTATGGAGTTTTTCCGTATATTTTGGATCTCTCTGTTGTAGCTCACATTGTTAATAATGGTTTGAAATGCCTCAATGGGGTCAATAAGTTGACCCCACACTTTTGATCCAAGGCGATCCAGAATCACCATGAAACAGTGTAATGCTGGCCAGAAAGGATCCATGTTGTCATCTAAAATGAATACAGCAATTTCTAAATTACAAAACAATAAGAAAAACATTCTAAAATATATTGAGAATTAAATATTCTTGGTCAGTCAAAACTGAAAGCATAAATAGCAATTACTATTATTTATTTAATTAATTTTGGGGGAGGGGTTTCGAAACAGGATTTCTCTGTGTAACAGCCCTAGCTGTCCTGGAACTAGCTCTATAGGCCAGGTTGGCTTTGAACTCAGAGGCCTCTCTGTCTCTCAAGTGCTGGGATTAAAGGAGTGGCCACCACTGCCAGGTGTAATAGCAATTAATTTAAAGTGATATCTGCCAATTTCTCTCTCTCTCTCTCTTTTAAGTTTTTTGAGACAGGGCTTCTCTGTGGCTGTTCTGAAACATCCTCTGTAGACCAGGCTGGCCTGTAACTCACAAGAGGTCCATCTACTTCTTCCTCCTGAGTGCTGGGATCAAAGGCATGTGCCACCATGCCCAGCTTGCAACTTTTCAAATGTTATAAAATTATAATCTCTTTTCAAAAATAAATAACAATAATTAATGGAAACAAACTGATAAGTAACAAAACAGTCTAAGCAAAGGCAACCTCATCACCATTTTACCATGTCTAAAACAGTCTTTCCTAATTAACCTAAGACCTCCCACAAGCTGATGCCCCAACTCTAAATGGTAAGCAACAGGGGGAAAAAGAAGAGAGGGCTAGTACAATGGCCCAGTGAGTAAAGGTACTTGCTGCCAAGCATGGGGACCTGATTCTGACCCCCAGATGCTACATGTTAAAGAAAGCAGACTTTTATTTTTTTTTAAGATTTATTTATTATGTATATAATGTTCTGTCAGCATGCATGCCTGAAGAGGGCGCCAGATCTCTTTACAGATGGTTGTGAGCCACCATGTGATTGCTGGGAATTGAATTCAGGACCTCTGGAAGAGCACTGAGCCATCTCTCCAGCCCGAGAGCAGACTTTTAAAAGTGTCCTCTAATGTTCTCTCGTTCTCTTTCTCTCTCTCTCTCTCTCTCTTTTCTCTAAATATTGTTTAGGAGTAAAAGAATGTGAAATAATATTTATGGATCTAAATAAAACCCAGGATCTAAGAAATTCTGCTTCAGTGAGTTCCTTAATTTTGTGTGCCATAGGTAATAATTATGCTAAGAATTAAAACTCCTAGTCAACAGTAAGCATTCTTCATACACATTCTATTACCTTTGCTGTCCACTTTTCATGGATATGCAGGAATTCCTGCTATTCATTAAGTGTCCGCTTATGCCTTTTCCCTCACTCAGATACACAGTGGAAAGATATCGGTCCTGGCTAAAGACCTTCAGTGATTCTAACATCACAGTTCTTAGTCAATTCCCAGATGTATTTTTAATATGCCCATAATCACTGTCTGTAACCAAAACAAATCAATACCTTTTTGCAAACGCCAGAATGCCTTCCCCATCAGCACTGCCTATCAAATTTCTAAGCATCCTTACTAGATTCCATCCTACGCTACTGTTCCCAGCTGTGTGATTTCCAGAGGTGGAGGCAGTGCTATAGTTTACTCTATTACTCAGTGTTTAGTTGCCTTGACCCTTCTGCTTTACTTCTTAGAACTTTCAAACTCTGGTTGGTAAATGTTCAGTGCTTAGGTTGGAACCCAGAGCCTTGGGCATACTAGGTAAATACTCTGTCATCCCCAACCAAAACTGCTTATCTTATACTTATATATTGTGTATCCTTTACAACTTCTGATGGCACCTTATGCTTACTAAGATCTCACTCATATAAGGAAAAAAATAGTCATGTGAAGACAATTATGAAAAGTTAAAGAATTTTAAACTTAAAGAGTACATACAGACATGGGAAAAAATTAGTAATTTATGCAGTAAATGCTGGCAAATCCATTATTAATAGCATAATCTAGCAAGAAAACATGTCATCAAAAAAAAGGTGCTATTTCTTCTAGAATCTTGATATAAATTAAGTTCCTGACTTCATTTCTCAGTCAGCTAGAGCAGACCCTGTGATGATCGAAGTGTTGTGAGTCTGTACTGTCTAGCATGCACTGAGCCTTGAAAATATGGTTAATGGGAATGAAAATCAGTATTTTTTACATTTCAATTAAACTTCAATAACTAACTCTGGTGGTTAGATCTGGTGGTTATTATGTTGGACAGTGTCACCCTACAGAACCAGAGAACAATGAAACAGCAGAGATTGGAACAGTAGCCAGGCAGCAGTTGGCATACACCTTTAATTCCAGCACTTGGGAGGCAGAGGCAGGTGGATCTCTGTGAGTTCAAGGCCAGCCTGGTCTACAAGAGCTATTTCCAGGACAGCTAGGACTATCTCTAAAAACAAAAAACAAAAAGAGATTGGGATGGCCTTCCAATTGTTAAGTGACATACTTTTGTAAATGGAGTTCCCAGAGACTCTGGTTTGCATAATGTAAAAGTAAGCTAACTTTGGAGAGGATGTGGGGTAAAGGGAACTGATATAGATATGAATAATTTGCACTGGTATGGATCTTACTTTATTGATACAAATTTAAGGTCAATTTTGTTATACTGTGAATAGATAGAGAGAGAGAGTGAGTTCTGTTCTTATTAAGGTATTGTGTTTGTGCAGTTCATTTAAAAATGTAATGTATAATTAAGAAATATAAGTTAACAGATACTCATCTGTAATAGTCAAGCTTATAGCCATGATAGTTAG